TGAAGGCATTTGAAGAGCCATGCTTTTCAGGGAACATGTCTTAACTGATGTTCTTCCACACTTGCATAATAAGAATGAGTAATGCTCACAAATTATTTTTCACCTCCTCCCAGAACTCAACCTTCTCTTTAAGGGCATACATTATATTTCCAGTAGTTTGAGAGGGAAATGAGGTGCAGTGGCATATTTGATGTTTTATCGATTAGTCGTAAACTACTTCTCACAACTTTATGGACTGATATTACTTCAACTTCACATTGTTATGTTCTTAGCAGAAGGGCATAACTACTACACAGACAACAGATGTATTTTTTGTTGGTGATTGTATTCAAAGTTCTTGTGTTTTACTATTCTGTGACTACATTTATGCAATACATTTCCATTTATGTATCCTCTGATTTTCCACAATGATACCTTATCATTGCAGCAGTCAAAAATTAAAATTAAAAAACTCAATGCTAACAAATCGTCGCCTGGCTGGCAAAAGGGCGCTAGCTCGAATTTCAGGTAAAAAATCAAGCATTAAAGGGATCCGGTAACTTTGTCTTAGATCCTTTAGAAATAATCCTTGATTTAGCTCATGCTGCAATGATAATTATAAACCTTTCGGTCAGTCAGGAATTCCATGGCTTTTACAAGCCGATCGCCTGTCTGATTATCAAGATATTAATGATTGGAATTACAAATTTTGAAAACCGTTCGCCGGACGGTTTTCATAACACTACAGTCTATTGGGGAAAACGAGTATGGTAAAAACCGGTCACTCAAAGATTTTTACTTTTTTGAGGCACTTCTTGATCATTTTGAAGCGTGATTTTTTTTAGGGCTTCAATATTACACCATATCACAGACACTGGTAACATGTAGGACCGTGTATCTCAGATTTAACATTGTTAAACGATCCCTTTAAGCAGAAGGGTGTTAGCACTAAATCACCTCAAACTTTTATAAAACTGACTTATTTTCGAGAAAAAAATTGTGGCCGTGTTCTACTATAGCATTTCTATTAGTCTTTAAAGTTTTAAACCAATTTTCGGGACGGAAAGCAGTTTTAATATGAAACAAATCTTTAAAAGCGAATAATTTCGAAAAGTAGTTTTCGAGTCACTTGCGCAATAATGCCCTTTTGCCAGCCGGCTCGACGAAATTCAGAAATTTGACAAAGACTTCTGCCCCACAGATGATGATTTTGTCCGTTTGTAGCCCGAAGGGCATTCATTCTAATACTTAAGCACAGACTTAATGCCATATGGGATCCACACATGATATGTGATGTAAGTTTTTCTGCCTTACTGAAAGGTTACAATGGGTAGCTGCTACCAATCTAAATCTCTTGTCTAATTGAATTGCCTGCATTGTTAGCGCCGTGCATCCAATCTCTCTCTCTCTAGCTGAAACTATTAAGTGTTGGGTCGTATCTCTTCTTGTAAACACACACTCTAAACATCGTCTTATCTCCTGTTGGTCCTCGGCAAATACCTCCCAGTGGAGTAGGTAGTGACTTAGTGACTGTGAGATGTTATGTGATTGAAGTATGCTGCTTGTAACATAGTTGCATCATGTGAGACTGGGTAGTGTATTTTTCTGTCTCTCTCTCTATCTCTTTCTCTCTTTCTCGCTCTCTCTCTCTCTCTCTCTTGCCCTGCTATACCTACAATGTACAGCACATGTATTTTTGTCATTATCTTCACCAGCTTGAAGTTGGTGATTATTTTAAATTCTTGGTTTATGTAAAAGAAGTCTCTCTCTCTCTCTCTCTCTCTCTCTCTCTCTTGATTTTCTTATTCTATTCCTTTATATTTAATCGTTTTACCCAACTGTGACTGCTCATTATTGTCATTCCCAGTAAGCTGCTCCGATCATTGGACATCATGATTAAACATGATTAAATTGCATGATAATCACAATTATAATTGCCATAATCCTTATCATCATAACCATAATCATCATGATTGTCATCATCATCACTAACATCAATACAACAACAACAACAACCACCACCCCCACCACCACCACCACCACCACCACCACCACCACCACCACCATCATCGTCATCAACAACACCACCACCATCATCACCATCACCATCATCACTATTATCACAATCATCATCATCACCATCATCATCAGTAACCACCACTACCAACATTAGTATCACCACAACCACCACCATCATCATCATCATTATCACCACCATCATCAATATTGTTATCATCAGTATACCGTACATGTATTTCTCATATTGTTCTTATAACAATCAATGGGGAAAAAGGTACATGCATGTGAATAAAAGTTGTACCTAATGACACATATATGATGACAATGAATTATTAAGTAAATGTCAATCGTTCCAACAGTTATATATGAATTACATGCCCATGAAGACAATGATATTGCAATAATTACAATGCATATATTATTTTTATGCCGATGTATTAAAGAGCTGTATATGCGTAACAAAACAGATAAGAATATTGTTTATATAAATTTTGACCCTGATCATTGGTATTTGATTATATTGTTTAATTAGAGAACAGTTTTAGCTACTCCCTAAAAAGTGATAATCTGAAACAAAGTCCTTCCTCAACTATTTGTTTTGCTAAATCAGGAACTGGGGCTGCAGTAACTGGTATTATCGAGTCATATTTAGTCTTGAATCAAGTCATATTTTTATAATGATCTATTTCAATTGTAAAGATCATGAACAATTGAATATCCTTTAAGAAATTGTACAATTACTATATAAGTGCCACAATAGTTGTTTTTCAGATTTTGAATAAAAACAAAGAAATGCCTTATCTCAGTCACATATATTTTGCAGAAGATTTGTTAGTTTAGATATTTTTATAACTAAGTTTAACATTTATTTGTGAGTTCATGTAAAAATGAGTGTTCTATAATGATTAAGGAGTACAAATTGTTTTTTTAAATCGATTCGCGGCAGCATGTCTACAAATTTGTATACATGCACATATAACTGTAAGGTTCTCATACATGTAGTTCAATGTAAAGAAAAAGGAACCAAAGTATGTTATGATGAAATACTTTTAACTCCCAGCACTTTAAGAGAGACTAAAGATTGTTTCTATTTCTGGGTTAGCATGTGCAGTAGCTTTTCCAGTAACGGTCGCTATGGCAACTTAAATGGAGCATTGGTAAGCTGTTACACAAATTTGCACGACACCCTGGCCAGGCTGATCTTTGGATGCTCGCGTCGGGCGAAGATCTCAACGAAGGAGAGATAGCGCTTTATCAGAGAGCCGCTTCAAGAAATACTCGTGCTCGCATTGACCCCATATTGGAAGGTATACTGATATTTTTTAGTGCTGAAATGTAAAGTCCACTGCCGTATTATCTTAAGTAATTTTTTTCTGATTATTAAACATGTAATACTAAAGGCCAGTGGACTTACATATACGTAACCTTTCACATGATATCTTTATTAATGTACATGTATTTATCCATTCATTTACTTCCAATATTCGTATTAGAAAGATAACAACCTCTGACGTAATATCTTTATTGATGTTTATATCAATTCATTTACTTTCAATGTTTATGTTAGAAGGATAACAACCTTAGACATAATATCTTTATTAATGTTGTTATCCATTTATTTACTTCCAATATTCATATTAGAAAGATAACAATCTTAGACATAATATCTTTATTAATGTTGTTATCCATTTATTTACTTCCATTATTCATTTTGGAAGGATAGCATTTTTTTATCATTTGAAGAGATAATGACAAAATTTAATTTGATGTTATGATAACTTTACAGCAAACATAACTCATGAGAAGAATATATACATTTATACTACATATTGAAATGTGGAATACCAATATAATATATTTTTTTAATGTGTAGATATTGTATGCAGTTTTTGGAATATTTATGAGACATGAAGTTTACGCAATTCATACATTTTATATTATTTCATCAGAAGTTAAGGTCATAAATCAATTCTAACTAGGGAAATATTATCCTTGTTCTTTTTTTTTCTCCAGTTGTTAATATCATGGGCTTTTGATCTGACTGAAACTTCATATAACCATCCCTTTTATAGACTATTTGGTAGACTAGCTGATAATGATTCCCTTTTGCAAATTATCAACTAAAAAACCAACAAAATTATATCCCCACTTCCCCAGCAATTGTGGTTGTAGTTGAATTCAATGGAAAACTACTCACTTTTCTCAGTAATTAATGTTGCACATTAGTGAAATATGTTTGTTATCATGGGTAAGCCGTTTAAACATCACATGATTAGACTATTAGCCAAACATTATCATGGGTAATCTTTGCTTTGTTTACTTAATTGACATCACAGTCACCCAATATGGGTGGAAGCTGGAAACATTCTTAATGACTTATTCATGGAAAGAAAATTACAACAGGGACAAGAGAATAATTATGAAAATGAAATCAATCTGCTTCCAATATTAAGCAAGTTTAAAATGAAGAAAGAGAGAGAGAGAGGGAGGTTGTTGATACTTATCAGCCAAGAATATTAGATACAAATGTAATAATTAAGCTGTCTGTTTGTTTTTAAATTTGAAACAGAATATACTGGATTTTGATACATTAAACTTATATAGCTCTACCACAAAAAATCTCAAGATTTTATAGAATAATAATCACATTTTCAAATCATAGTTAAATAGCACTAAATCTTTAAAAATATTGACAAACGGAAACGTGAAAACTTTATCTTTCAGGACAACTCTCTTGGAGAAATATTTCTTTTTAAGATTAATCATTTTCGATGTTCAACTGTCTTGTGTTTGTTAGATATCTTATAATTCTGTGAAAAGTCAACCAGAGTAATAGGACCCTAAAGCCGCAATCTCCCATCCCATCTACCAGCCAGTCGGTCAGTGTGTGAGTGGAACCATGCCGACGCCCATCTTCAACCTTTGTCTTCCCTTATCTCCACCCCTCATACACTCATTAACCAAGCCCAAACCTTAAACCCCCGTTCTACAGGTTGAGGTTAAAGTGGTCTTAGCAGCAGTATTACTCGACATGTTAAACCTGTATGCAGGATCAGGACTCTACCATTGTCAGAGGAGGGAGGAGATGGAGGACAATGAAGGGAGGGGTGATGCCTTCATAAAAAGGTACTTGTCAACTTTACGTCATCTTTACTTTTGAAGCTTTTCCCCCCAATATTTTGACATATTTGATGTACATGATAATAGATGTATCATCTATATCATATTAGAGTGTTAGTAAAACATGGTTTTAGAAGCTCCCTATTTTTCAATGGAAATTTATGTTTATGATAAAGAATTAGGTTTAGCTGTGTGTTTGTAACATCTGTAAAAATAAAAACATTGTGTTTGTAATACATATAAAAATAAAAACAATGATTATAACAAGAGCACAAGTTACAGGTAGAGATGTCGTGAAAGATCTAAATGACTTAAATTTAATCATTTGAAAATTTTCTTTTGAAGATTTGTTTCTTCAAAAATGTTATAATCAATTTTGCAATCATTTTATTGTATAAGTAATTTGATTTGTTGACTTGTGGTTGAATCGTTGTTTTAATATTTTACCGTACATTATGATCCAGTTTCTTAGTTTAATGATACTTTGCTGTATAAAAATATCCTTTTTGTAATAAATATTGAGGACAAGAGGACTTAAATGATATATTGTTAAAGGAAGTAAGGAAGGAAGTCCATTATGCTGATTTAATGACCACAAATGAAATACAAGTAGTTGTAAGAATAGCAGGAGTAATAAAAAGAGGTACAAGATTTTGTGGTTTTTAATCAAACAAAGGAATTAGTATCATCACCTGGTCCCTCCATGACCAGTGCACCCCTCCAAGTAGAATGGTCTAACCCATTTTGTGCAATACACTGCATAATAATGTACTTCTGACTTCTGCTACAGCTATCTTACAACCCTCCAAATACCCCACCAAATCCTTCCAGAGTTCATTCATACATCGGACTGTGCTCGGAAGAGGACAGTTTTTATTTCTTCATCGCATTACCAGTTCTTCTTTTGATATTGACGTTTCTTCAGGCTCATTACAAGATGGAAGAGAACGTGTAAACAGACTGTATACCTAGTTAGAATTACGAGCCATAAACACAAGTGGACTTCAAGTGGTAAGTTGGATAATTATTACCTGTCAAGTAATTGGTTTCATTGTTAATGTGTGGAAGCTTAATCTGCTTTCCTTGTTAATTATTATAGTTATTCTATATAAAATACATTTTGTGTTTCGTATCTGATGTGATGCACTTTTCATTTTATCTTTCATATTAGTAGTGAAGTGATATAGTGTATGTTACATTATAAGTTTTGTTTGAGTTTTGTAGAATCATGTTTTTGCAGGGCCAAATATATAAGTATTTTTTTTGTTTAAATTTAAAATAATCTTCTGTTTTGCTGATAATGTATTCACATCTGAAGTAGATGTAAATCTTTACAGCTGATATTTATATATTTCAGGTTCATGTTCATTTTCATTCTATTTTTTAAAATTAGATAAAATAAAACTTTATTATGAATAAAAATGCATTTGAATTAGATGATACATAGATAAAGAAAATCAGTTTACTGTACTTCTTTGGGGCTATCTATGTGATTATTGACAGTCATTTGATATTTCAATTTCAAATGATTGTATTTGTTATACTTTTACATGTAGTTTGTTTTACTCTTGCTCTAAACCTGTAATGATATGTGCTTAATGAATCCAATCTTAGATTGTAATAGTCTGTAAATATACACATGCCATTTAGAAAAGTTTCATATTTACAATTAATCAATAATTTTGCTAATTACTTATATTGTTGGTTATTTAGACTCTATCCTACTGCCTTGCAATTCAAAATCTGTATTGGTATACCTAAAGAAAAGTTTCATTAGCTAAAAGTAGAAAACAAGACTAGTTCTCTATTGTAAGAAATACTATTGTAATACAAAAACGAAAGAGATTTTATTTTGTTTTAAAGAGCAGTCTCTGAAAATACAATGTGATCGAAGTATTGAGTACACAATCATCTACAATCTTAAAGAGAGATAGCTGAGTTGTAAAATCTTGTAAATTCAAAGAAAATTAAAGAGATTAAGAGAGAAAGATAGAGCTAAAGAGATTTGTTTAAACAGGGATAGATACAGCATAGACCAGGAGAGAGAGATAGAATGGGAGAGAGAGAGACAGACAAACAGAGAGCGAAGGAATGAGGGGTGAAATTTGTATATACACACCTATGCAAAAATGAAACCCGAAAACAGTTGATCAAATGACAGTAATAGAGGGAGAGAGAGAGAGAGAGAAAGAAAGAAAGAAAGATAGAAAGAAAGAAAGAAAGAAAGAGAGAGGTATGAAACAGAGAGAGAGAGAGAGAGAGAGAGAGAGACAGACAGACAGAGTGATGAGAGATATAAAAAGAGAGAAGTAATGAGAGATGAGTTAAGTTTCTATCCATACACACCTGTGCACAAATGAAACCTGGCAACGATTCGCAAACGATCTAAAACGACTGTAAGATAGAGTGAGAGAGATCATTTAACACTTTTGCTGCGGGGTCACTCTGTACAGCCGTCTGGAATTCCCTCGTGTTAATCACTGAGGAAGTCCATTGAAGGAAATTGGTTTTCCATTAAAACCTCACTCCAGTAACCTCCTGCCAAATCAGGATGTTGTGATTCCTTGTGTTTTTTATTTTCAGTCTTTCAATAAATGACAATATTTGTATAGTTCCGTGGTTATGACCCATCTTGTTCATAGAAAAATTGTTTGAGGTGTTTTGATGGGGATACATTGGTTAATTAATAATCAGATTCACCTCACACTTTGGATATTTTAATGACTATTTCTTGACATTTTCTGCAGAAGTAGTTTGAGAAAGGGTTACTGGTTCATTTAAATGTAAAATTAATTGTTTGGTTTTGAAGAGTCAGACATCTGTTTTCAAGTATACAGTATTAAATCTTATATCATATTGGGGAAATAGTGTAAAATCTATCTTTCAGCTATACCATTAATAGTGAACCATTTTCTTTCAAACCTATTAAAACTGTATATTCATTGTTTGATCGTTATAATTATTGCAGTAGCAGTGAGAAAAGGGGTTAATGGTTCTTTTTAAATGTAAAATTAACTGCTTGGTTTTGAAGAGTCAATCTTCTGTTTTCAATTATACTGTATACTAATCTTTATATCATATTGGGAAATAATTTCAAATCTCTCTTTCAGCTATACCATTTAAGGTGAACCATTGTCTTTCAAACCTATGGAAACTGTAGAATCATTGTTTGATCGTTATAATTATTGCAGTAGCAGTGAGAGAAGGGGTTACTGGTTCTTTTAAATGCGAGTTTAATTGCTTGGTTTTAAGAGTCTATAACCGGTATCTATTTTCAATTACACCATAAACTAATCTTTATATCACATTGGGAAAATGATTTAAAATCTCTCTTTCAGCTATAACAAAGGTGAACCATTGTCATTCAACCTATTGAAAACTGTATAGTCATTGTTTGACTGTTTTAATTATTGCAGTAGCAGTGAGAGAAAGGGGTTACTGGTTCATTTTAATTGAAGATTAATTGCTTGGGTTTAAATAGCCTATCAATCACCAGAGGGGGACCTGGTACCCACGGGATTGAAGCATTTATGATGGACATGAGGCCTATTATAGTTCAAGATTGGAAGTGCTATTAGCAGTACCTTCATAAATTATTTGGGCTATAACATGGGATGTAAGACAGGACAGAAAGGAAAAAATGGAAAGAGGGTTGGGGAAATAAAAGTGTAAAGGGAAAGCAAATTGTTTTATACAGTTTCTGTTTTCATATGTATTGAAATCTACATTAATTACTTTAATCATATATAATTGAGGAATATGCATCTTTGACAGATACTTTTGTGCTTATGATTTTTGTAGTGGCTCCCTAAGATTTCCTTCCTTTTTCTCCCAGTTTGTTTATCCGTCTTTATCAATTCATTGTCTTCTAAATTCTATGTTGCAAATTGTCTGTGCAATTGCTTTAATTCACTTTGTTTTCATTATGTAAACAACAACAAATTATCTCATGTTTTTGTGATATACATCCTTTCTACACACTTTCTTGTCTTTTTTTTCATATTTAAAAAATTATACTCTTTCACAATTTCTTTCTTTTCTGAACATCTTCTTGTTAACCAAAGATTTTCCCTTTATATTATTTTGTTTACTTGCTTTAATCAGGAAATCCTGATAGAAATTTTGAAAGCAGTGTGCATTTACAAAATTAGAGGGTGATGCTATGAATCAAATGTATTTCTGTCATTTACAAATATAACTTGGGGTTTAAAATTTTGTCTCTTGATGCTCAAAATAATAAAGGATCTTGTTTCATGACTGTGCTAAATTGGTCAGAGATGATAAAAACAGCTCGAGTTTCAATAAATAGCATCTTATTGATCCGTTCACACGTTGCCTTGAGGTCCGAAGTGCACTCTGTACAAGGGTCAGAACAAAATCTGGTTGATGTTAACAGTCCTCGATCATGCCGAGCTAGTTATCTCGTTCAGTATTTAACTCATCAAAGACAAGGCCCTTCTTTGTACAATGATTAAGCAATCAGTCTTCAACTCTACTCTATGAAAACAAATTTGGAATCCTCTCTAGTTTTAATAGTTTTAGGGGAATCTTTTATAACCTTTCTAGTAAACAGAAGGTTGAGTTCTGGGAAAGGTCATAAATAATTTGTAAGCTTTTTCAATCGTGTTATGTTAGTGTGGAATGGAATTATAGAAAAAATGTCCCCTGAAAAGGATGGCTCTTCAAATGCCCTCAAAATTCAAAAAATGACATGAAATAACTGAATTGTTGTGGGCCACAGCACATTCCACATGTTTGTGTAGTCCCATATACACATTTTTCTGTATACAGTGCATGCGACTCTTAACAAGACTGAGTTAATTTCTTATCGTTTTGATGATTCCAAAACCTCACACTATATACTAAAAGCCCTACTTTTATGCTACATGATCAACGTTTTCTAATCACTTCCACACAGTTTCTACCACAATGCAATAGCATGACCAGAACTCAACTTTATATTTAATAGCGTATTGCATTTAATGTCTTCACATTATATTTAATACATAGCTTCTGCAGTGAGCCAGAAATATGTTATCCCTTTGTAAAAATGATGTGAGTTCTTGTCAATCTCGTTGTCAGCAAAATTACCAGCTTTTCTTTTAAGTGCACACGTCTACATGTAGCTCAGTAACATACTTAAATATCAAATAACCTGCATCAGTCTATAAAACTGCGTTGGTCTATAAAACTAATCAGCACTTGGGATTAAGATTTTAACCTGTTTTTAAGAATACTTGTGATAACAAATGTCCATTTCCTGCCGATTCTATTTCTGTTTCAGTCTCAATACCATATCTTGTGATCACTGAATACATCCATCTGCAAAGTTCATTGGGTGAAACGGGGTACTTGCTCTTATGAGAGAGAGAGAGAGAGAGAGAGAGAGAGAGAGAGAGAAAGAGAGAGAGAGAGAAAGAGAGAGAGAGAGAGAGAAAAGAGAGAGAGAGAGAGAGAGATGAGGGAAGAGATCAAGGGGAAGAAAGAGAAGAGAGAGGGATATATATATATATATAGAGAGAGAGAGAGAGAGAGAGAGAGAGATTGAGGTTTCTTGCCATCCACCAGTGGCCATCAGGGTTCAAATAAAACAATGATTTATAGTTTGCGGTACTTGGTTGTCCTGTAAAAACAGTTTATTAGCAGCATTCGGAGTATACATGAATGTGCACATGGAAACTGTGTGAATCATTATTTATCTCCCTCTAGCTCTGTCTTTATCTTACTGTCTGTCTTTCTTTTTCTGTATATGTTTTTAAATAATGCTGTGTGCAGGTCTATGTATTTTTGTTTTCTCTATCTCTCTCTGCCTATGTTGATCTTGTAGTTTTCAGCTCAATTTCTTTTGCTTCTCTCTCTCTCTCTCTCTCTCTCTCCCCCTCTCTGTCTCTCTCTCTCTCTCTCACACGCACTCTCACACTCTCTCTCTCTCTCTCTCTCTCTTACTCTCTCTCCTTACACTTTATCTCCCTCTCTTATACTCTAATATTACTCATACTGTCTCAATTTTCTCATCGACATCTTTTTTGAAATATTGTTAATCACATGTTCTTCATTTCCCTTTTTAAAATTTATTCATTAGCAACTATTATCTTGCCTATAGATCATCATTTTTTCGCCCAAAATGATTGTAATCTTTAAGATCTTTTCCTCTGTCTCTTTCTCCTTCTTGCAGGAACTTTTAAAAAAGAAGCTTCGATCTACCAACACAGACATTTGGTACACTTAAATTTTCTGACTGGTCCTTTCTGTTAGCTGTTTAAAAGGTAATTAAAACTGTTGTTGTTTATTTAAATGTGTCAATATTTCTCAAATTGTCTTTACAAAAAAAAGAAGACACCTTCAAATAATTTGCTTGAGCTGTGTTTGATTCCAATTGCTTCACAGAGCAGTGGCCAGTTGCAAGCAACTGAAGAATGTTAAAAAATGGGAATGAGGAAAAGTTAGACCCAAAACATATATCTTGACTTGAGACAGGAACTTTCATATGAAAAAAGAATTTCCTATTATAATGATAAGAATAATAATATGGATATTTATATAGCGCCGGTATCCGCCAGGCTCTGACGCTCATGGTGCTTTACACATATTACCCTGGTTTTAGCCGAGCTGCCAAAGTAATTAGGGCTCAAGCAGTTCAGGTACCCATTTACACCTAGAGAGTGGCAAATGTAAATTAACGTCTTGCCAAAGGACATTAGTGACGCGGCAGGAATTGAACCCCGTACCTTGTGATCTGCAGTCGGTGACCACTAGACCACAACACCTCTACTTTTCTCTTTCTTTTTGCATTTCAGGGCAGTCGCCCTCATCATCAAGATGCCCACCACGTCGAACGGCAAGTCCTCGGGCGTCGGGGGTTTCATCTCGGCCCTGCCTGCGGACCTGATCGACAATGCTGCCCTCGCGGAGATTGACGTGGACGAAGGGGTGGAGCTCGTTCCGGAGGTAACGTACCGTGACCTGAAGGAAAAGAAGAAGGGCGTCGCCAAGTACAAGGACCCGCTGAAGGTGTTTTATCCGGTCAGGAGAAAGCCAAAGTAGGTTCCGTAACCCATTTTCACGGTAACAGAGTGACATAGAAAAGTCATTATGGTACCGCAGATAATATTCATGATCATAATCATACAAATATAGGAGCTAAAAGGATGTATTTTCATGTACATGTATACTTGCTTAATTATAGGCTATTCAATGGTCATTATAGAACTTTGATTTAGTCATATATTTTTGATACGCAAATTATCTGTTGAGAAATACTGTTCTTTGTATCATTCCAGCACCATGCAATTTATCCAGGAGACTGCAACTTTACTGATTCACATTTCATGTAAGGGATTTCCCCCCAATCATCTAATATTCAACTTTTTATTTTAGTATAGAAAAGAAAATAGTAGACAAAAGTAGATCTCAAATTCATTCTTGCATATATCATCAAGGACATGTCCACTGTAATGGGTCAATTATGAATTTGAATGTAATCTCTTTTTTCATGGAATAGATTTGTTTCTGGCGTTAATCCTGAATGTCTTTCTATCACTCTATCATTAATATTTTAGAGAGACCCAAATTCTTTGTCAAATGTAGAATTCAGCCTTTATCAATTAAAAGCTAAATTGTGGTCTAACATAATCCTTCCCCCAATATTGAAGCTTTGTAAATTTCCTATCTTTATTTCATTATCTGGAAACCTCTCTTGTACCATCCAATATAGAGATAAACCCACAAGGCATTACACAGGCAAAGTGTGTATACTCTAAATAAATAATACTCCATATTACTTCACCAAGTGACTTCGAAATAGGTCATAAGGGTTAAAACAAAGGCTCTGAAACTTTTGGTTGAGAGAGAAGTTACGAGGTTTCCTTAATAGCTCTTAATCAGCTCCAGTCTTTATCAACAGAGCAAACAAGAAATGGGTTATAAGTAGCTAGAACAGTAAACAACTAAGGAAAGATGCATTGTTAGTTTTAAAGTGAAGCATTTGGTCAAAGGTCGTTAATTAGTGGCCCTCCCTTCCCTATGTGCTTGTGCACTCAAACTGACTTTATCGCGTCGGCTCTCTCCAGAAGTGTTTTATGATGTAATTATGTTTGTGCTGCGTCTGGGGTTAATTTTTGCGAAACATTTTGAGGTGTGGGATGGTAGCCTGATTTGATAGGTGGAGTCAAGCTCACATACTTCTACTTGATAATGAAATGATATCATAAAGATTTGATGTCGAGATAATCATTGTCATTTGTATATTCTATTACAGGATTTACATGTTTTGACTCCAATATATATTTCCAATGCAATAACCAAGTTTAACTGAAATAAACGACACTTGCTAGTATTGGGATTATATGTTTGCTAAAAACTTAATATTCTTTTTTTGAATATCGTCCCTCCTTCCACCCCCCCCCCCCCCCTCAAAAAGGGGGGGGGAGAGAAGGGTAAGAAAAAGAAAAGGAAAAGATTTAAAGTCCAGTCAAATAGGTATGTTTTTTATATGACCACTTTAAAAATATATATATGGAAATGCAGTTAGTCATTGAGGATGATTTAAATAAAATTTTAATACAGAATCATCATGAAGCTTAATTGGTATAAAAAAACACTGCAATGTAAAATTGAAGAATTCTTCTTTTTGTCCTTCCAGAGAAGAGAACTATTCCCCCCTCGACCATTATGGACTGTTCTCCTTCCTGACGGTCAACTGGTTGACGAAACTTTTTGTGAAAGCAGTGAAGAATAATATTGAATTTGACGATCTCTACGATCAATCGGAACTGGACTCTGGATACCTGAATGGACTGAGGTAAGGACAGAAATTCAAGGAGATTTAGGGATTGGTAGTGGTGTTGGTGGTGAGGATGATGGTGGTGGTGGTGGTGGTGGTGGTGGTGGTGTGATGGTGGTGGTGGTGGTGAGGATGATGATGGTGGTGGTGGTGATGATTATGGTGGTGATGATGAGGAGGAGGATGAGGGTGATGATGATGATGGTGGTGGTGGTGATGATGATGATGATGATGATGATGATGATGGTGGTGGTGGTGGTGGTGGTGGTGGTGGTGATGATGATGATGATGATGATGATGATGATGGTGGTGGTGGTGGTGATGTTGATGGTGATGGTGGTGATGGTGATGATGATGTTGATGATAAAGATGATGATAATGATGATGGTTACAATAGTGATGAAGTTGGGGGTGATCATTACGATGATGATCGATAGTGGCAATGATGATTACAATGTTAATGATGACAATGATGATGATAAAAATGATGGTAGGTAATGATGATGATGGTGATGATGGTGATGATAGTGATGATGGTGATTTTGATGATAACAAGAGAGAGAGGTTTGAGGAGTCCTGAAAAGGACTCTGACTCGGTAATCTTTCTTGGAGGAGTGTAGTCCTGAAAAGGACTGTTTGTTATCTTTCTTAGCAAGAGATATGATGATGATGGTGGTGGTGGTGGTTACAATAGTGATGATGATGGGGATGATTATGGTGGTAGTGATGTTGATGGTGATGTTGATGAGGAGGATGAGGGTCATGATAAAGATGATGATGATAATGGTTACCACAGTGATAATGATGATGATGATATTGACAATGATGATAATATTGATGATTACAATGAAGATGATGGTGATGATAATGGTGATGAGGATGATGATTATGAGGGTGATGATTGATAACGGTGGTGATGGTAGTTGTGGTGTGAATGATGCAAATGAGAAATCATTCAATACATTATCTAGATGCCCTAAAATTCTTTTTGTAACTATTTCAATCATTTCTTTTCTTTCATTTTTTTAAAATTTCATTTCAAAACAAAAACATAAAATAACAAATAATTTGAGGTCGGCTGAAAAAAAGGGGATCAGGGGTGAGAAACTGTAAATTTATTTTATCATCTTGTTTCTCCCAGGTTTGAGAAGATGTGGGACGAGGAGGTTGCTAAGGTCGGTCAAGAGAAGGTCAGCATGGGTAAAATAGCCCTGAAGTTTGTCCGGACTCGTCTCGTCATCATCATCACTGCTCTTATTGGATACGCCGGTTGTCTCATTGTCATTTCTGTAAGTTGACATCTGGAATTACCCTGTTTTTCTAACGTACCCGGTATTTCGATTTACGAATGATTCTCTCTCCAAACTTCCAAGTTAAAACCGTTTAATTCACCTGTTTTGTATAATGGCATCAACTAATGAAATTAACTTTCACTATACCTTTGTTGATGCTATGTTGGGCAAGCATCTGGCAAGCTTTTGAGTGGTCAACAGTAACTTTTGTTCAAGAAATGTATATTTGCATAAAATCAGTAAACGTGACTATTTGTTCTTCAAAAAAGCAACCCTAAATATTTCTTGTATATTATGGGCTAGAACAGTACAATGTACTTGTAACTAACTTGTGGAAGTGTTGTCGTCAAGTGGTTTATAATACACTTGACTGAACGTCACATGTGAAGGTCATGGGTTATAGACGCCCCCTCCCCGCCCCCAGCTCAAACTATTCAGACCTGCTAAATAATGTGCATCTTCTTTGTTTTATCTTTGTATATCAAATTGAAATCCAACTACTACATACATCTGTATATCTTAATTTTACACCCCCTATTTCTTTTTTTACTTCTTTTTTTCTCTCTCTCTCTCTCTTCCCCTTTTACCAATATTTTTTCCTCCATATTTGTATTATTATGTATCCATTAAAGGTTGTCATGCTATCAAGCTTTGCTTACTTTGTCAACCCTCCTGTTTGATGTTTCAATTAGTTACAGCCAGTCTTTCTTTATTCTACATATATTCTTTTGTCATGATTGTGTAAAATTTGCAATGTTTTGTTTGTTACATATTTGAAAAACTGCAAAAGAAAAAGAAAATCAAACAGAAATAAATAAATCAAATCAAATCAAATCAAATCAAATAGATTTATATCTACAATCTCTCTTTGCTGCTGTCTCTTTCCCAGTCTTTCCTCGTTCAAGAGCTGCTCATATTCTGCGACGAAGTGGAGGCTCCCATGTCCCGCGGCTACATCCTGGTCTGTAGTATCCTGGCGGTCAACATCATCCGTGTCATGTGTGACGTGGTATTCTGGATGACCTCCATGCGGACGGCCACCAGGCTCAGGAGTGGTATCCTGTCCTTTGTCTTCAAGAAGATAGCCAGGCTGAGGAACCTGCAGGATAGGAGTGTAGGAGAGGTACGTTGATATGCTCCCCAGGGAGTGGAGAATGTATTGTGTGTGGGTAAGAAGATAGCCAGGCTGAGGAACCTGCAGGATAGGAGTGTAGGAGAGATAGGTTGATATGCTCCCCAGGGAGTGGAGAATGTATTGTGTGTGGGTAAGAAGATAGCCAGGCTGAGGAACCTGCAGGATAGGAGTGTATGAGAGGTAGGTTGATATGCTCCCTAGGGAGTGGAGAATGTATTGTGTGTGGGTAAGAATATAGCCAGGCTGAGGAACCTGCAGGATAGGAGTGCAGGAGAGGGTTGTTGATATGCTCCCCAGGGAGTGGAGAATGTATTGTGTGTGGGTAAACCTGAATCCGATGACCGGTGTAATCACATATCTTTTAAACGCTTAGATACATCGTTGTATCGATGGATTGGGCGCTCCATAAAAGTGGAATATTATTATTATTATTATTATTATTATTATTATTATATGGGATACGTTAGAAATATAAAAACATACAAGAAGCTCAGAAGTGATTTGAAAACATAATTAATTAGCACTTTGTAAAATACCATTTTTAAAGTACACCATTTCCACTTCTTCTGTATTCTGTTCGGTAAAGTGCATAGATCGATCCAAGACATTCAATTCATGCCTGATATGTGTTATGCGCTATACAAAAACGTTTGATCATTGCACTCGTATCCTTATCTTTGTAGATCGTCAACATCTGCGCTAACGACAGCCAGCGTCTCTTTGACGTCTGCGTCTACGGTAATTTCCTCTTCGTCTCCATCGTCCTCATCCTCGCCGTGCTGGTATCAGCGTCCCTGATCATCGGTTGGGCTGCTATCTGTGGTGTCCTCCTAACCTTCATCTTCTTCTGGCCTCTTCAGGTAAATACTGTACTAGTCGATAACCATGGCAACGCCATAATTTTTTCAAATTTCATATTTCCATTTTGTCCAATCAATTGCTTTTGGCCTCTTCAGGTAAATACTGTACTAGTTGGTAACCATGGCAATGCAATAATTTCGAATTTCATATTTCTTTATGTCCAATCAATTTATGTTTTGCCTCTTCAGGTAAATACTGTACTAGTTGGTAACCATGGCAACGCAATCATTTCAAATATTTTTTTTGTGTGTGTGTGTGTGTGTGCGTGTGTGTGTCCGATCAGGTGCTTTTGGTCTTAACTTGATCTCTGAAATAAAAATTCCATTCCTTAATACTATGTAAAACTCAAATGAATTTGAAGCGTAAAAGACGAAAAAACAGGGAATGACCCCAAGTGAATATCCATTGCAATTTTTCTAAACCATTACAGGTTCAATATACATGCATTTATGTTTTGTAACATCAAATAGTGCAAATTGAAATTCAGTCAATCATGCCAAACACATTTTGTTTCCCCCTTTCTTAAAGACCCACTGCTCAATGATGAAAGCATACATATGATAATAAAAGGGCAATTTGTATAGTGCTGCTACTATGAATATACTCTACTGCGCTTAATACAAGGAATCATACTATAACCCTCACTGTAGCTGACCTGTCATTATAAGGCGCCTAAAGCATTCAAGGAATTTCTTCCTACCGGGTACCCATTTACTTCACCTGGGTGGAGAGTGGCAAATGTAGATCAACATCTTGCGAATGGACATTAGCGCCGCGGCTGGACTCGAACCAGAAACCATGTGATCCATGGTCCTGTGACATATCCTCTCGACCACAATTAACACCTTTACAACAATGCTTTAAAGCCCATCTGTACTAGTTTACAGCAGGGATTAGACCACTCTGCAAGGTCACTGACAAGTGGTTATCTCATCAAATCAGCTCTCAAATAACATAAGAAAAAGAGGATCATGGAGGACCAATGGTCACCGATTAGGCATTGTTTGCTATATAAAGGGCGCAAGTAGCTATAAGTAGTACAGTGGGGCTTTAAGATGTTACTTCATTAATTCTTTCCATTTCTCCTCCTCTTACAGATGATCTTTGGTAAGATCACATCAATCCTCCGTGATCGCTGTATCTCGGTGACTGATGAACGCGTCCAGAAGATGAACGAAGTACTGACCTACGTGAAGCTCATCAAGATGTACGCCTGGGAGGTACCCTTCTCAAAAGCAATTTCAGGTAATAATAATAATAGTTATAGTGGTAAAAATAATTTTAATTTACCCTCGATTGACTGTCCCATTCACATGATGCATAGCAGTGGGCTCTCGATGGGGTAATGCTCTGCATTTTCAACCAATAGCCCCATATGGAAACGTCATTATCTTACATTTCCCTCAACCGAAGACTCTCTGGAAGACGAGGGGTATTTCTTGATGGGACTACGGATTTGTTGTGTGTGCAGTCTTGTAGACCAATTGATATTTCTAATTCCAATCATAAATATGTTGATAATCAGATAGGCAATCGGCTTGTAAAAGTCATGGGATTCCTGACTGACCTAAAGGTTTATAAGAGTGTGGTGGTTATTTTACCTGACTGCTAAGTAAGCATAATGCTTGATAGTAAGCAGCCAGAGGACCGACTGATTTAGGTCCTCTCTGATTGCAGCATGAGCTAAATCCAGGATTTTGTTAAGAATCTGAGGCAAAGATACCTAATGCCTTTAAATAGTCCTTCTATTCAGGTTGACTGCCTAGTCTCCCATTTAATGTTTGACTGAATGTATATATAAGCTATGGATGTTTCAGGTATTAATTACGGCTCTCTTTACCTGACTTTGCAGCTATCAGGAACTTGGAGCGGTCTCTGCTGGAGAAGGCTGGTTACATGCAGAGCTTCAGTCTCTCCATCTCCCCCATCACACCTAACATTGCAACCGTTCTCACCATCGTCATCTTCCTCTCTTCAGACTACGATGAACCACTCACATCCACAAATGTACTATTTTCATCATTACATACGTGGACAGATCTTTATTCCCCGCCTAAGAAATTGCTTTTGTTTATTGAACCAAATAGTAAAAATAATGATGATAATAATGATGATGATGATGATGATGATGATGATGATGATGATGATGATGATGATGATGATGATGATGAAGATGATGATGATGGTTAGGATAATAATAATAATAATACTGATAATAATATTGACAATGATAATGATAATAATAATTGTTGGTTCTTGTGTAGCAATCATGTCTGTCAGACTTGACACTCTTAAAATGGGATATATATACTTTATTAAAAGTGCTTAATATTAATATATAACAACAAATAAATAAGAGTTAATAAAAATTAGAAATCATGAGCACAATTAAGCACAGGTACTTTAGTTTGCATAAGTGTATTCATCTTTTTTTTATATGACACAAATTACCGAATACTTTTTTGTAATGTTGTTGTTTTCTTTGTTTTGATATAGATATCTTTTGTCTGTAAATCACTGTGTCCTTTTATTCCTTTTGATGATAAGTAAATTGAATTTCTCTAAGAAGTACAATGGGATGACCTTATATATCCTCAACTATTTCATTGAATAGAAAGAAGAGAATACTGAAGACATACCGGGTAACCCACCATTTTTAACTTCTCTTTAATAAGAAATCCTTAAAAAAGACAAATCGGTGTGATACATGTAGAACAGATTTAAGAATATATTTTTTAAATGTTAGCATTATCTTATTGTTCTTCTGTTGCAGGCTTTCACCTTAGTGGCCATTCTAAATACCCTCAGGGCTGTGATCGGTCCCACCCCTTGGGCCATCCGATCACTCGCAGAGGCAAACATTGCCCTCGGTAGGCTAAAGGTATGTAGTCTTGTATTCCATGTGTGAACGGAAGAGAGAGTCCTACTTACATAGAGTTGGTGTGTTTGTATTACCTGACTGCTGAGAAAGCATATGTATGCATGTGCGTAAACAACCAGGGGACCAACGGCTTTATAAGTCCTCTCAGAGAGACTTGGAAACGAGGATTAATGCATCAACCTGGTTTTCTAATATTGGACCTACCACTGAGCCATTGTTCCTCAAGCTATATTGTACGTCAGTCTAACTAATGACGTTAATGATAATTTTGATAATGTTCATTGCAAATCCGTTGCTAATTGTGAGTGTAAAAAAAGAGCCATTATCAAAATAGTGGCCATTGTGGTAATCGCTGTCATTTGTTTTTGCAGAGTGTCTTTGTGATGGACGAGCAGAACCCTCTAGACATCCTCCCAAGGAACGATAAGTACGCCGTCATCATCCGAAACGGAGTGTTCGGTTGGGATAGGCTGGAGAGCGGAGAGCAGGAAGAGGAGGAAGAGGAGGAGATCAAACTGAAGAGTAGAGCCATTGAGAACGGCGCCAACAACAACGAAAGGAAGGTGGCGTACGTCCATACAAGGGAGGTCAACCTGCAGGTCAGTTCAAGGCGTATTTTAACGTTAAAGGGATTTGGTATCTTTGTCTCAGATTCTAAACAAATTAAATCCTGGATTTAGCTCATGCTGCAATCATAGTTATAACTTTTAGGTCAGTCAGGAATCCCATTACTTTTACAAGCCGATCGCCTGTTTGATTATCAAGATATTTATGATTGAAATTCAAAATTTAAAAAACTGTTTTCCCGACAATTTTTATAACGCTACAATCTATTGGAGTAAATGAGTGTGGTAAACCGGTCACTCAAAGATTTACTTTTTTGAAGCACTTCATGTTCATTTTGAAGCACAATTTTTTTTAGGGTTTAAATATTACACGATATTACAGACGCTGATACCACATACATAGGGCCATGCATCTCAGATTTGTAAAACTGGAAATTGTTAAATAATGCCTTTAAGTTAGACATCAAGGAACACAGTTTCATATCAGGATGAGCAATTAATATGGAGTTCCGCATTACATCTCTTTTTCTGTCTGCGTTCCTTCCCACACCCAGGTTGACCTTGACGAGGAAGCGCCCTCCAAGAAGTCTGCCATCACCATCATCGAGCCAGAGAAACCACATGGCAATGCGGATGCGGGTAAGAAGGCCAACGAACAAGGCAAGAGATTCAGCATCGCTACCAAGCCAGTCTCCCTGGCCGAGGCCGGCCTGGATACGGTTGCCGTCGATAAACTCATCCAGAAGAGCAAAGTTCATCCAAGACGCCAAATTCCTGACGACAAGGTCTCTAAGGTGCTCTTCGGGATCAACTTTGCTCTGGAAAAGGTAAACGAAAATGGTATCCTCCTCAATCATGCACTGACTTGAAGAATCGAGGGGAAGAGGAGTAGGGGTAGAAGGAGGATTCTGTGGATGATTAGCTTAAGGAATTTAATGAATTACTTCATAGAGTATGGGACAGAGGGTTGTGGCATTCCATGGTCGCCAACGTCTCAGGACATGTCACGTAGAGAGAGAGAGAGAGAGAGAGATCCTCCTCAAAAAAGAGATGTGTATATGAACGTTACGGGCTACGCTTTTTTTTTGAGGAAACTAGTTTGAAATTTTCCTTTTGTGCACAGTTTTATATAAAGTTTCAGTTTCCATATATTTCTAAAGTACTTTTTTTTACTCAGTTTAATCTGCATTGATTTCACTTTTATTCAAATGTAGATAAGCTTTTTGCCAAAGGACATTTAAGTGCTGTGCCACTATACCACAGAACCTATAGCACCTTATGGAATGAAACGTATAATAATAATATTAATAAAATTCCGCTTTCATATAGCGCTTAATACATACAGGTAATGTCTCTTAGCGCTTAGCACAGATATATCATTACTCGGGTCATCAGATTGGTCAGGCTTGCTCGCACACAATGTAATGCACATTCTCCACTCCCTGGGGAGCATTCCGACTAACCCAGCTGTTTTTCATTTGATTCTCCCCCAGGGTAAACTGACCGGCGTCTGCGGTACCGTCGGAGCGGGCAAGACCTCCCTCATCTCGGCCATCCTCGGACAGATGCACAACATGGAGGGCGACAACTGCGTCCAGGGCGCATTCGCCTACGCCGCCCAGGAGGCCTGGATCTTCAACGCCACGGTCAAGAACAATATTCTCTTTGGAATCCCGTTTGACGAGGACAGATACGATATGGTCTTGGACGCTTGCTCCCTCAAACCCGATCTGGCTATTCTACCAATGGGAGATCAAACCGAGGTCAGTGGTGATTTATTTTAGTTTATGTCGATATGATTTGTTTTTTGTTTTTTGTTGTTGAAATAAGTCTTTATTCAGATACAAAATCATGGATAACATCATACATAAATATTTATAACAAGCATTTCTTCACATGTTTATTGAGATCAAATTATATATATCAACATAGAACAGGTTTGTACAGAGTACTCAAGGTAGACTAAAAAAGTAGCCTTTGGAGGAGGATGGACTATGTAGTAAATCAGAGACTGTTTGTGATGCATTCTTATGTTTTTCCTAACACTGAAGTGTTTACATGGGTTTTATGATTAATCTCATACTAATCCCATCTTTATTTGGTGTTCAAGATGGTATCACAGTTGGTTGACTTATTTTCCATGTTCTTAACACTCCTGACGATGGATAATAAACCTGTTCGAAACGTCGAACCAACAGTCCTTTTCAGGACTACACACACTCTCAAGAAAGAAAGATTATACAGACAGTCCTTTTCAGGACTTCCCCAATCCTTCCCCCTCACTCACATGGTGCAACCGTAAGCCTACTGTATATTATCAGCTTGTCCGATTTTTTGTTCAATGCAGATTGGAGAACGTGGTATCAACATGAGCGGAGGACAGAAGCAACGTATCAGTCTGGCGAGGGCGCTATACTCAGACCGTGACATCTATCTCCTTGACGACCCTCTCAGTGCCGTGGACGCCCATGTTGGTCTTCATATCTTCACACATTGCATCAGCACTGCCCTCAAGGGAAAGACTGTACTCTTTGTTACTCATCAACTTCAAGTAAGATTCTTTCCCCGTATCCACACTCAACAAATTTGTATAACTATCTTGTAACAGTATACCGTTTCGGGATAGTTATATGATGAAATTGTGTGTGTGTACGCTTACTAACAATACGTCGTATAACGAAACGTGGGTCTGGGCATCGTTTTTTAACTAGAACTCGATAAAGAATCACAGAATGTCTTGTGTGTGGACGTATGGTCGAACTAGAACGGTATAACTGGGCAGGGCTTAAAAGAATTTGATTGCAACAGTTAATTAAACTTTACTTTCATTTTGTCTGTGCTTTAGAACAGCACAAGTGTGATTATTTGTAAATTATGAAGCTTTTCCACTTTTTTACTGTGTAGAAAGCACTTTTACTTTTTTTCTTTGATTATTGACTTAACTGGATTATTATAGAACTTTGACAATATATCAAAAAACACCCTTTCCTCTTTTCTTTTTTTTTCATAGAAAGGGGGAAAAAAGAAAAAGAGAGAGAAGCCTGTATTTTAGTTTTTATACTGTTATCCACATTATATATTTAAAAAAGAGAAAAAAGAGAAAGAAAGAAATTAATATTTTAAAAAAAAGGCGTTGGTGATAGACGGTTCTTGAATGATTGCCACTACACAAAAAACAACAACAACACTCGAGCCACTCCTGCCACTCATCCTCTCCAAGCGCTATAGTTCTCCTTAGAACTATAAGCTAAGAAAGATAACCAACAGTCTTTTTTTAAGGCTAGACAAACAGTCCTTTTCAGGACTACACATCCTCAAGAAAGATTACCAAAAGTCCTTTTAAGGACTCCTCAATCCTCTCTCTCTCTCTCACACATGGTGCACCCTCAAGCCTACTGTATAACAACACTCATGCATGACTCATTTTTTGCACTAACAGTACTTGAAGGACTGTGACCTCGTCATGACAATGATGGACGGCCGCATCGTCGAGCGCGGTCACCACGACGAGCTCATGTCCGTGGACGGCGTCTACGCAAACCTGATCAACACCTTCCACTCCAAGCAGGAGGCGGCGGACCTGGAAGACCTTGAGAACCCCGAGGCCGATGAGGACATGCCGGAGCAGGAGGAATCGATGGTGGAGAGACGAGAGAGGGCGCAATCCCAGCTTAGCTCTCGGTCCAGGGCGTCCAGCTTCATCGCGGACGCGGCTCCGGATCCAGAACCAGCTGTAGCAGTCACTGATGGTGAGTGGCGGTTTTTATATCACTACAGTCTATTGGGGGAAAATGAGTATGGTAAAACCAGTCAATCAAAGATTTTTACATTTTTGAGGCTCCGGATCCAGAACCAGCTGTAGCAGACTCTGATGGTGAGTGTGAAGGGGGGTATGATTTGTGATGCTTTAAAGGCCCACTGCACTACTGGTAGCTACTTGCTCCCTCTATATAACAAACAATGCCTAATCGGTGACCATTGGTCCCCCATGATCCTCTTTTTCTTATGTTAACTGAGAGCTGAGTTGATGAGATAACCACCTGTCCAGTGACCTTGCAGAGCGGTCTAATCCCTCCTGTAAACTACGGCAGATAAGCTTTAAGGGAAGGAAAGGTCACTTTAATGTGACTCGATCAGTAACATTGCCTCAGATTCTGAAACAAAATCCTGGATTTAGCTCATGCTGCTATCATAATTATAAATCTTAAGGTCAGTCCAGGAATCCCATGACTTTTACAAGCCGATCGCCTGTCTGATTATCAAGACATTTATGACGATGATGGACGATGATTGAACGCGGTCACCACCACGAGCTTATGTCCGTGGACGGTGTCTACGTGAACAAAGTTACTGGATGATCCCTTTAAAGCATGATTGCCTTCTGCTTCCTTTTAGGTAAACTGATGTCTTCGGAGGATAAGAGCACAAAATCTGTTGGCTGGGGCACCTACGGCACCTACATCAAATCGATGGGCGGCTATCACATGGGATTCCTCGTACTCTTCTGTTTTATCCTCATGTTTGGCTCCATTACACTCAACAACATGTACCTCACTTACTGGCTTAACCAAGGAAACGGGGTAAGTGCAGGGAGATGTTTCACAATACTTGTCATCAGTGACAAATGACAGTTTTTGTCATAAGCTACTGAAATCCTTGCTTCTGATTGGTTATCGGCAGATTTGTCACTGATTTATGTCGTTTGTCATTGAAAAAAATGCTTTGTGAAATGGGCCCCAGGAAGTGGTAGGGATAGGGATGGGGATGAGGGGGTCGTAGGCCTCGGGAGGGGCGTGGTAATATATCTGTTATGGGGAATGTTAGATGGGGAGGGCTGGTAGACGGTGTGTACCCCTTTCACTGCCTCACTCAAGGGAATGGGGGTAAGTTGTTGAGGTGGTAGGGGTGTGGAAAGGGGTTTTTCAGAGGGGGGGGGGGGGGGCAGGTGCATTGATTGTTAGGCTAGTGCATGGTATGGGTATGTGAGATAGCACTAGTATATTCTATCACACTCAACAATATGTATGTGGAACGAGGGTTAAGGGGAGGGTATATAGAGGCAATGGTAGATTAGTCGGATAGTGTAATATTGCTACTAGCTGGTTAAGGTAAATGGTAAATAGTTCTTGAGGAGTTGGGTTAAGGGGGGGGGGTAGGGGCATTGGTACATGCACGGCTAATGATGGAAGTGAGTGAGGGTACAGAGGAGAGTATATAGGGGCAAAGTACATGAGTAGGGGCTAGGGTAGAGTAGTACTATGGATAATGGAAGTGGTAATTTAGGATAGGTAGGGGGCAAGGGTAGACCATAGCACATTGAGACAGATAGTTGCGGCATGTGTACACAAGTTCGGTCAATGGAGCTCTGAAAATTTCCTTCCCATGCATGAACAATATCTATGGGAGGGGGAGGGGGGAAATATTTCAGATTCCACAAAACGACCAACCAATTAGCTTATATACTCTAAGACAAAGTTAAAGCCCCTTCTGGTTCTGCATGAACAGACAATCTTAGTGCAGGTTTCATTTTGAGCATTCTAATGCTAATGTATGCATTCTAATGATAGTGTGTGCATTCTAATGCTAGTGTGTGCATTCTAATGCTAGTGTATGCATTCTAATGCTAGTGAATGCATTCTAATGCTCGTGAATGCATTCTAATGCTAGTGTATGCATTCTAATGCTAATGTATACATTCTAATGCTAGTGTATGCATTCTAATGCTAATGTATGCATTCTAATGCTAATTTATGTATTCTTTTCTTGACCCCCACAGACTGACCCTGACGGTGACATTGGTTTGAATCCTGACGCTCAGAAATATCAGTTGATCTACGGCCTCTCTCTCATTGTTATCATGATGTTCGGAGCATTCAAGAGTCTTGTCTTTATGAAGGTAGGCGATATTTCATTTTTTATTTCACACTTAACAAGATTTACTTTCATAATGAGAATGGCATTGTAATCTAAGAACTTGCTGGAATCATATCATGCTATATATTTCTATGGTTGTGAATATTCATTGCAAGAATATATTGAATAGCTTCAATATTGGTCCCTGTCAGTATTGCCTGTTATGAAAAGTGTCAGTTGAATTATTTAAGAAGCATCTGAAAACACACCTACCGGTATTTACATTGTATTTAATTGCATTACATTTTCAATCATTTTTGTTGTTGAGTTTTAACTCATTGACTTATTTATTTTGTGAAGCGCTTTGATCAGATCTAAATTGGATATAGCGCTATAAAAGAAACAATTTATTATTATTATTATATTGATGTCAGTCATGATGTGTTAAGTGTTTGAAGTTATAGAACTCTTAATCTGTAATTTACAAACAAGGCACAAGGAGATATTGACTAATAATTTTGTATCTTCATATAACCCCCAGTCAAATCACAAAATGGGATTAACAATATACTCTGTTTGGTACTTTTTTAATTCTCAACTATACATATTTTATTTTTAAAAAATTGTGGTCAAGATGGCACTGTGTTATTCCATGTACAAGATTCTTGAGTATCCAAAGCAGATTCTTATGCTCAAGATATCCAGTGTATGTGCTCCAAATTTACTTGACTTGATGAGCTCAGACTCTAACCTTTGGTTATTATTGACTCAGTAACATTCCTCAGATTCTGAAATCATAATTATAAACCTTTAGGCCAGTCAGGAATCCCATGACTTTAACAAGATGATCGCCTGCCGGTATCTGGTTATCAAGATATTTATGATTTGAAATCTAAATTAAAAAAAACGTTTTTCCAACGGTTTTTATTACACTACAGTCTATTGGGGAAAATGAGTATGGTAAAACCGGTCATTCAAATATTTTTACTTTTTTGAGGCACTTCATGATCATCTTGAAGCACAATTTTTAGGGCTTCAATATTACACCATATCACAGACACTGATAACACGTAGGGCTATGTATCACAGATTTAACATTGTTAAACGATGCCTTTAAGAGAAATAAAAAGCAGCAATCATTTCTGTGAGATAATTATATTATCTATGAATCCACCTGTCCTTTTGCTTCTTGCCAGGTAACGCTGAAAGCTGCCTCTCACATGCACGACACTGTCTTCATCAACGTCTTCCGCTCACCGATGAGTTTCTTCGATACCACGCCCACTGGTCGTATTCTCAACAGATTCTCCAAAGATTTGGACGAAGGTGAATATCTTTCTTTGTCATGGCATGTATCTACTTGATGGAACCGTCTTTTTAAGAAAAACAATCTAATTCAAAAACTCAAGAGCATTTTGAAGAATGGAACGCTATGTAAACTAGCTTTTAGGAATGAAAAGATGATTTGGAAATGCAAACATTTCAACAATGCATACAATATGGATCTTAAAAATTGAATTATATATAGCTAGAAAACAATTGAATATGTGTTATCTGTGTTGTCAAGGAATCTCAGGAAATCTATACTTAGTACATCCTAGCAGAAATAATAACAACCTACTAGGCATGCGCTTATGCTGCTCACTCACTTTTTAAAGGCCAGTTTCCGGTGGCAGTGGTGGGATTGAACATTTCAGCTCATTATTCACAGATCACTGTCCTCCAGTCAAGCATTGTCTATACTCAACACCATGACAACCAAAGAGAATGCTTATTAGAATGGAAGTTGTTATATCAGCATTAATACTAATCCAATTAACTATTCCTTTCTTGCAGTTGATGTGCTGTTGCCTTTCAACCTTGAACTCTTCCTCCAAAACATCTTCCTCGTCTCCTTCGCCCTCATCGTGATCTGCATCATCTTCCCCATCTTCATCGCAATCATCATCCCGACCTTCATCATCTTCATCATCATCCTGCGCTACTACCGCAAGGGCATCCGCGATCTCAAGCGGATCGAGAACATCACCCGCTCGCCGTGGTTCTCGCACATCTCCGCCACCGTCCAAGGCCTCTCCACGATCCATGCCTACAACAAGACGGACGACTTCATCGTCAGGTTCCGCATGCTGCTCGACGGGAACGCCCTGCCGTACATGTTCTTCAGGATGTCTGCTCGGTGGGCTGGCGTGAGGCTGGAGACTCTTGTCATCCTTCTCGCTTTCGTTGCTCATCTCCTTGTGGTCTTGTACCACGGTGAGATCGATTCTGCAACGGCAGGTCTTGCTGTGTCATACACCGTTCAGGTAATTGATTGATAAATAATTGTTGATACGGTGTATTTTTCAATGAGTAGGCCTATACAGGGGGGTGTTTCACAAAGATCCTAAGTTGAACTTATCTCTAAGTTGGACTTAACAATTATGGAAAGCCGTTACCATCTGTGAAAAAATATGTTGTAAAACTTATTTCACAAGGCATAAAATGTTGATTCAAATCATTCATATTTTCTATTATCAAGGAAATTTCATGTTCTTGATGTGAAATTATGAAAAGTCTAAATACTTGAATTTTCGCTTTTGAATATATTTTATTTTAAGGCTACAAATGGCTCTCCATAATTTTTATATCCAACCTAGAGTTAAGTTTGACTTAGGATCTTTGTGAAATACCCCCCAGATCAGAGGTTTGCACACTATGAAATGTTATTCCAATGGAAATATCATTGATATTTCATACTTATAAGAAGATGAATGCCATCATATTTGATTACGCATCTATACTTCACATTGATGAAATTGCAATATATATATATCCATAGGATGGAGATGTTTCTGTACCACGTTTTGGAAAAAATTGCAAGTATAGCTTTAAAAAGGAATAAAATAAGTTGAATTTGTTCCTTAATGCGATAGGTGGGAACATAACATAATCATGAACTCTTTGACTCACTAAGGCGCACTACATGTACTTGATAAAAAGCAAATTCTTGATTCAATTCAAACATTTTTTAACTGTATTCATTTTGTTCCGTTCACAGTTGACGGGTATGTTCCAGATGTTGGTTCTCATGGCCTCAGAAACAGAAGCTCGCTTCACATCAGTAGAAAGAATCCAGAGCTACATGAAGGTAAGAGGGAATTTTTAAATCTTTTTTCAATTCCACTCATATTAATATATTAAAGATATTTTCTAATTCTAGATACATGTATACCAGTTCACTTCCGTAATTACATATATGATTTATCTTTAGAATTCCATAAAAGTACTTTCTGATGTGAAAGTACTAGTACAAACTAGTTTGTGCTCCCCGCCCCCCTATAAAAGTAAATTGTTATACCAAATAACTACACATCAGAAAATGAAAATATATTTTGCAATGCTTTCTATTTAATATAAAGGAAGCGAATTCAAACTTTTAAACACTGCCAACCATTCCTATTTTTTGGTCTTCAAGCTATTCTATAACCTAGATTCCTCTCTTTTTCTGAAATATTCCGTGTGAAAATACAAAATAGACTATATTCCTAATTTTCCCCTTTAGATATTCCTAATTTCTACTGTGACAGGTTGCCAGGTAAAAGTTCATGTCACCACCTTTATTCAACCTTCCTTAAAGCCTATCTGCACTAGTTTGACCTGGAGGGATTAGACCTTCCTGCCTGTTCACTGACAGGTGGTTATCTCATCATATCAGCTCTCGATTAACATAAGAAAAAGAGGACCATGGGGGACCAATGGGTATGGGTACCGCATTGTTTACTATATAGAGGGCGCAGGTAGCTACAAGTAGTGTATAGTCCTGCTTTAATCTTGTACATTATCTCCATGCAGAATCTTGTTGCAGAGGCACCCAGGGTAATCAAGAACAAACGCCCGGCCAAGCAATGGCCAGATCAGGGTCAGATAGAGTTCAGAGACTTCAAGATGCGCTACAGGGATGGGCTCCCTCTTGTGTTGAAGGGCGTCAAGCTCGTCGTCAAACCCAATGAGAAGGTTGGCATCGTGGGCAGGACAGGATCAGGTATGATATGGGATCATAAATTCTTGATTAAGCAGGGTATTAATTCAGTTTATTGTATACAATGTTGATTCCATCTTGGCTCACAGCAAATGATTTTTTTTTTGAGGTGTCTGAGAGGGCTAGAGTTCTAATACCCTAGCTCAGATGGTATAGAATTATATTGAACAGTTGCTCCACCCTTCTGGCACTCCCGCCCTTTTATTCTTTGCGACACCAACAAACTAGAAAGCTTTAAGTCAGGCCTCAAACCCATCTTTTCAAGCAAATGTGTACTCCGTGACTATATTGGAGGAGCAGGCACCTTTGAATGTTTGAAAAAGATAAATGGCGCCATGCATACAAGTGCTATGGATCATCATCATCGACAGTTTCTGTAGAATTGGTTATTACCTGCATATATTTCATACATACAATGTAGTAAGGAGCTGTGTCCCTATATTTTATTATAAATGTTATTTTGATTAGGCTCTTGAGGCATGCATTTATGTTGTTTTTTTTTCAATAGTTGGGATTAATTTCATACATTCATAATTATGTCCCTTTGGCTTGCAGGTAAATCGACCCTTGGAGTTGCCTTGTTCCGATTGGTAGAGGGCGCCAGTGGGCAGATCATCATTGACGGAATCGACGTAAAGCAGATCGGTCTTCATGATCTTCGTTCTAAGCTCTCCATCATCCCTCAAGATCCTGTTCTCTTCATCGGAACTGTCAGGTAGGCTATCAGACCGATTTTTTACCATCACATAAAAAGTGCAACAATAACCCAAGTCGCATTTGGGCTTCGTGCGGGCCCTGTTCCATGGCAATGCACTGGGTTCATGATTCTGATTATTTATGAAGTGGTGAAGAGATATGTATTCAGAGAATTGATAAAGGTTTTATAGGATCCTATACATTTCAGTTGTTCAGGCAACTTGCTCCACAAAACAGCAGCTGCATATGAAAAGGACCTTTCCCCGTATGATTTTGTCATTGTTTGTGGAACACAAAGCAGGGACTTGGAACTGGAACGTAGTATTCTATCTAGTTTATATGGAGTTAGCAATTCGGTAAGGTGAAAATGAGCGAGTTGATGTAAACATTGGTAGGTTAATAGAAGTATTTTGGATTGGATACATTGGATACAAGACTTGATGGGTAACCAATGAAGATCTCTTAAGACTGGGAGTTATTGATTCATTTTTCTTTGTGTGTGTAACAAGTCGCGCTGCAGAATTTTGAAGGAGTTGTAGTCTTTAAATTTGGGAAGAAGGAAGACCTGATACATGCCTCTCTTCAGATCAGAAGATTAATAACTTTCATTTGCTCTTCTTCTTCTGCAGGTATAATTTGGATCCTTTCAATGAACACGGTGACAAGGAGCTCTGGGAGGCCCTGGAGAGATCCTACATGAAGGACAGGGTAAGAATTAAACCATCAAGATTCTTGTCTCTTCGCCCAAATGGTTCTAATTTGGTCATAAATAGCACAATATATGCCATCATATATTCATACACTACCTCCATATGTTACCAAATATGTACCACAAATGTGTTGAGAGCCATAGTAGAGAACCAGACCGGAAACATGATGGCTGATGATACTTTACTATCTGACAAGTGGTATTTTTATAACATGTCTATAAAATAGTGGCAGCAGTGGGATCGAAAATTCAATTCCAGTTACAATTACATTCACAATTTAAGCAACACAATCATAACAATATTATAATTTGTAAGAAAAATTACAATAACAACATGGCAATAAAATAGTGGCAGCGGTGGGATTGAAAATGTTGATTTTTATTATTATTGCAATACTCAGAATCCAATCTGTATACATTATTTTATGATGTGTCGGATACGCCTAGGGCAAGCTACAGGTTGTCAAAAACAAACTTTGTTGAAAAATTATGCTTTAAATTTGAATATGTTAGTTCTTTTATTCGTGTCTCCTTAGATCAAGATAAATGTTAAGTTCCTCAATTAAATTTAATTAAAGTAAGTTCTTTCATCGCCCGATGGCTGCAAGGGCCAGTTGTGTTAGTAAACCATTTATATTAGTAAACCATTTATTTAGTAAGCCATTTATGTTTTAGTAAAAAAAGTCTATTACGATGAATTGTCTGTACAGTAAATGTTAAATTGACAAGTAAATCTACAATTATATCTACAGCACTTCAATAAGCAGTAATTTTATGTCTGTTTTCTTCATTATAGATCAGTGCGCTCGAGAGTCAGTTAGAAGCTCCGGTTACAGAAGGTGGCGATAACTTCTCAGTAGGAGAGAGGCAGCTCATGTGTATGGCGAGGGCTTTGCTGAGAGGCAGCAAGGTAAGCATTAGATCTAGAAGGACGTTAGCTTTCTGAAGATGGTTTAAGCACTTGACTTGAAATGCAAAGGTCGTGGTTCGATCCCCGACACTGCCCGAATGCCCTTTGGCAAGGCATTAATCTTCATTTACCACACTTGACCCAGGTGTGGCAAATGGGTACCTGACAGGAAACAATTCCTTGAAATGCTAGAGCCCTGTAATAGCAGCTAGGCTAAAGCCAGGGTAATAATTAGTGCACCTCGGAATAGAATTTCTTGATAGACGGCGCTATAGAAATGCCTATTATTATTATTATCATCATCTTTTTCACGTCTCATCTCAAAATCTGAGTGAAGAGAATGGGTCGTTAATGACTGTTATGAATATATGTGTCTGTAAACTTAAGTTTCTTTGATGGGCAGTTTTTTCTTTAAAAACAACTAAATCCCTACTTGTTGACAAATGATGTGTATAGGGTTGGAAGAGAGTTCTTTCAAAGATGCCAAATTAGTGATGAGTGAAAGAAATGACTCAATTGTATTTTATTCATATACTCTCATATTATCAAGATATTAAAAATCCCTAATAAGTAATTAAATTAGCAGTCAAGGTTTAAAGGTAAAGAATATAATCTCTTCAATACGAAATTGTAGGAATCATCATTGATTGAAGTATAAGGAAGGACACTTGTTTTATTTCATACAAGTTATTCCATAAAACAGTTGCTGCATATGAAAGTTACCCCATACTTTCACTTACTTTCCCCGAATGATTTTAACACAGTTTGTAGGACACAAAATATAGACTTTTTACTGGAACAAAGCGTTCTATGAAAATGACCTTTCCCTGTAAGATTTTGTGATGGTTTGTAAGTTAATAGGACACAAAATAAAGACTTTTTACTAGAACACGGTGTTCTTTCTGTTTCTGGTTTAGACTGTATCAACAATTCCATGCGATATGATGGAGCAAACTGAATGAAACATTGATAAGTTAATATAAAGTACTGTAAACTGGGTACAGGAAAGTAAAGTGACATAAAATGGGGTCATAACTGAAGCTACATATTCTGTTTTGTCCTATTTTTAAGTCTGACATTGTCTTCATATTTTTTTTTTTATCTCTCTTCAGATCTTGATGTTGGATGAGGCTACAGCAGCCATTGATACAGAGACAGACTCCTTGATCCAGCAGACAATTAGAGAAGAATTCAAAGACTGTACCATGCTCACGGTTGCACACAGACTTAACACCATCCTTGATTCAGATAAAGTACTGGTTATGGACGATGGAATGGTAAGAAAGAGTCACCAGTCTCTTGGGGGGAGGGGAAGGAGTGATCGTAAAGTTGGAGGAAATTGTCCTCTTTTTATTGGTTTTTTAATAGTTTCTTGTAAGACTCTGTGATAATGCATTTTTAACTTGATAATACTCTATTTCTAAACAGCTTATATATACATATATGCTCTATATATGTTGAAACTAGCCAAGTTGAATTGGACTTGAATCCCAGAGAATGTTTGATTAAACGTATGCTAGCTAAGGGTGGATAAACAAATATAATATTACTGTAGGGAAACATATATTGTATTAAACTCGCTAACAAATATTTTTCTTTCTTATACTTTTTTTTCTCATCTGCAGGTTGCGGAGTTTGATAAGCCAAGCACTCTCCTCGCCAATCCCAACTCTCTATTCAGTGGTATGGTGGCAGCAGCTGAATCAGCCCAGAATCGTTAAACACTACCCTTTGACCTCCCTCAACAAGGTCATCCTGTGTCACATACTTTATATGACCTCAACAAGGTCATCTTTTCATATGTACTTTAATATGGACTGGTATTCATTACTAGTGATGTATGTTGAAGATCACTGCATGCAGCTCTTCATATGAAGTTATTTTTGTAATATAAGATCGTCCAAAGTTTCTTCTGAATTTTTCAAACTAGCCAAGTTGATTTGGACTTGAATCCCATAGAATGTGTAAGTATGCTATGCTAAGGTTGGATAAACAAAAGCTGTATGGATTGATAATGCAAGATGTTAATTTTGCTATTTTAATTTTTGTTTACAATTGATTTTACCAGTAGCTGCTATGTAAAATGAATAAAATAATGGTATAGTTTCAACATGTATGAAATTCTTGTTAAATATCTGCAGCGATTGATGGTAAACTTCATTTGAAAATAAATGGGGCCAAACATACAGACAGTATAACGATGAGAAAGCTCAAATAAACATGTTTTTCTTGTTTTCTTGTTTGCTTTTAGAAGACCACCACTATTGGTGAAAAAAATGTGCTATCCTGTATAAAAGTCAGAAATAAATAAATGCCAACTAGTAATCAGGTATGTACTCTGGTACATTCTTCAACACTTGATGTGATCTGTTATATATAGCTTCTAAGGAGCTGCTGTTTGGTCGATTACTGCAACAAGTAACAAAGTTAGGACCATTTTATATTATCAAGGATGTATTTCTGCTTCAATTTGATCATTGACACAAGTTTTGCCTTTGAACACATAAACGAGGTGCAAATTCCGAAATACACAGAGCTGAATTGTAGCTCATGTTTTTAATGAATGCCAATATAAGACACTCTAGAAAATAGTCTCATTTGGTTTTTGGTATATTCCCAATGACAAGTTTTCGTTTCAGTTGTATTTTCTTTTTCTTTTAATGGATTCCTTTTTGTCTACAAAAAATGCAGTGTTTTCTTTGTAATTGTTCAGCAATCAGAGAAGTTCTGATGTGTATTAACCATGATAAATCTATGGGAACCACCCATAGAATATGAGGTAAACTTTCAAATGCCTACAAATGCAGAATTAGGGATAAAAAATGATAATATAAAGTATTATCAAGCAGTATATATGCTTTGAAGAATTGTGTTTGCGCTCTAATTCTTTTAAATATCAACAGATGTTCTGTATATTTTTGCATACTACAAGAGAGAATAGAAGTATATTTTGAAACATGTGATGTGTGATGGCAGTGTTGCCTTAATATTTCTATATTTGTATCTTTTGAAATCAGTGGGATTCACAGATAAACTGCCAATTTTGCTGTTACTATCATTACAGACTGGGCTTTTGTCTTCTGCCCAAAATGAGATATTTGCATCATCTCAGCGTGAGATTTATTCAAATTACGATGCTCTCATTTTCTTCTCCTTCCTATCTTAGTTATTCTTTGAGCGGTATTCAAGTACTTCATTATTCCTTGAACGAAAAATGATAGTATTTATACATTCTTAAATTAGTAAAAGCTTTTGTATGATACAATTAACTTCCAGGGAATTGATAAATTAATTAAGAATAATGAAATGCCAAAGTTATATTTGAACTCTCAAGAAAGTACGCAATATTTATATTGTTCTTATTTCAATGACTATGTATACTTCAACGAGAAGCTAATGATGTACTGTACGATTGTGTGTTCAATTGTTTGTATATATTGTAACAGAGAAAGAGAAGTTATGGAATTGGTATATTCTTTTTATTTGATTGTATAAGAAGATATGAATGTAAAGTTGAATGGTGCTGTCTCCAGATATACGTGTATGAGATAATAAATTATGAGAACAAGAATCATATTGTGTATATGCATGATTTTATGACTTCTATGCCTTTTGCAGTATGTGGTTTTAAAGGGGAAGTCCATCCAACCATTAAGTTGGGTATTTTTATCAAGCAGAAAAATGAGAGAAACAAATTAATGAAAGTTCGACCAATATCCAATTAAAAATAGGAAAGTTATGAACACTTGTGAATCTCTCCAATATGCTCTGTACAGACAAATTTCATAAACTTTCGTTTTCTTAGTTATTGATGATGGAATAGATTTGTTTCATACAAGGGAGAATACTAATTTTGAAGCTTTCAAATACAGGGTAAATGGGAAGGGAGCTTACAAAATTCGTCAAAGAGTAACTGTGTTTGACTGATCGCACATTCAAAAATTCATAACTTTCTTATTTTAATTGTTTTTTTCTCAAACTTTTACAGACCCGTTTCTCTCATTTTCGGCTTCTATTAAAACCAACTTAATATCAGGGTGGACTTCCCCTTTTAAAAAATTGTATGGTTTTGGTGAGTTTCGTTCAGGCAACAGTAGACCAGTTCATAGATAATATATTGTACAAATGACCCCCCAAATATCCACTGATCTTTTAAACATGGAGAAGTCCCACTTTGTGCAGTTTAGAATAATCACTCTCAAAGTGATGGAGGGGCTTCATGAATACCTTTTGTTTGCCCTCTTGAAAAGAACACTGTCTATCATAGAATGTACTTTAAAAAGAAATTTGTAGAATTATAATTACCCGTTATACATGGTAAAAAGATGGGAGAATTGTAAAACAAAACATCACAGAGACACTGCCAGCTTGAAAGCCCCATATCAAGTTTGATAAATTCATATTTTCTTATTTTTGTTCACACTCTCATACTCGTTTCTCTATTTTTTTGCTCTCCATACACTCAACTTATGTCATATCTCAGTCAGACTGCCAAATAAACTCCAAATTGACTGATTTTGGCCATTCAGAATCGTGTAAATTTTTTATTTTCATCTAGGCCCGTCTTATATTGAAGAATTGATATCAATCGCAACTTATTTGCAAATGATATCAATCGCAACTATTTACATGAGAGATAGGAGACTGCAACTTGAGATTGATTGGAGGACTTACGTAACTCTTTGTAAGACAGGGCCCTGGTGTCTGTCTGGTGTCTGTCTGGTGTCTCTCTGGTGTCTCTTTGGTGTCTTCCTCAGCAGTCCGACTGATCTGCCCGTTCATATCAAATTCACAAAACACCACGATACCACAATATATACAACAACTTGCGACTCGGATTTAACTTGGTCATATTTTTCTTTTTTTATTGAACCCATTTAAGTGCATTTTGTTTCTCATATCGTAGTCTACACAGCATCTTGACAACTTACAGAAAATCAATAAGAAAAAGGTTGAAGAAATGAAAAAAACTAGCAAAAAAACAGAAAAAAACTTAAATCTTTCACATAATATCCACCGACAGAGTTCCGACAAACTCATTAGTAAGCTCGTCATTCACCAAGTCACTCTTATCACGCATTAATTACAGAAGAGAGAGAAAAAAAAGTTATATTTCTTTTACATCATTGCATCAAAAACATACACCTCACAATAGATAGTGACAGGAAAAGTTTACATCAGTTATTTTCAAAAATTATTTTTTCAGTGTAATACATCAATGTATTTATCGTATCATTTTCAGTGTACCGGTATACATTAATGTACTTGTGTCATACATCGTATCACTGTTGCCTATCATATGCCTCATCACATAGATCATTAATACCATCATCATATTATTTTCATCATATTTATACAAGTGCGTGAGAATTGAAATGTAAATATGCAAAAAAAAGAAAAAGAAATCAATGTTCTACAGAAATACTGCTAGTATTCTTATATCCTAAATATTATAATTCTCTATGAACATATTAATTATTACGTCTTTCACATACAATACACTTAAGATATTGTTTAGTAATCCCATAGTATCATCAAGTTTAATGATAATAATAGCCTAATAGTCCACTCCAAATTTTATTAAACCGAAACGGAAATTCTTTTTGCCCAATTGATCGTGAGCCCGGCAGCCACTGAGCAGCGCCAGATCGACGTTGCTCTATCCTTTATTGTTGGACGCCAAACAAGGTAGCAACAACTTATATCATTCTTTTATTTCAAATATCCTTGTCCGCTGAAGCTCGATACTTCAAATTGGTAAAGGCTGGTTCGCAACCGAAAATAAGGTCAAACAAAGCATGCATTGATGTGACATTTTCTTAAAGGCTTCATTCGTAACTTTTGATGGACAAAAATAATTTATGGCATCAAATATTTTAATATGTAGTTCTTCATCATATGTTCTCTAGACAACTTGAACACATTGCAAAATGCAAATGACATGCTTAAAACAAAATTATTTTTCAGGACCTTACCCTAACTCTGCCCTGACCTAGCAACACATTTGTGAATCATGAAGGAATTAAAATAACCAAGTAAATGTAGCGTGACTGTGCTAGTTTCCTTTTTGGGGCAACATTAAACCAACAAAATGAGCATGTACGTGTGGGAATACGCTGTACAAAACAATCCGTTGTTCAATGTGTACAAAAATGATGCTTCTAGCGGAGAAAATAACTCATTTCACGTGTTCATGTGTGCCGCAGTTGATGGAAGTGAAAAAGTGAATACAGAAATCATTTTGTGCATTTTTTTATGAACGATGTGCAACTGAAGTGTAAAGATCACAGCGTGACTTTGAAAACTGTATTGAATACAGAATAAAGCATTTTTCATCTTTTTCCATTGACACTTTCAATCTCCATATTATCCTTTTCTTGAAAAAGCACCACATAGATATGCACATGTGGGGCAATACGATCAACCAAATTCGAATTCCTAACAGACGAGGGCCCTGTCTGTCTTACGAAGAGTTGCAGTTGAGCAGGATTGATTGACAATTTTGTTCCATTCAATCGCAAACTTACAAACTCCTATATCTTTATTATAATGGTACAGACTTGCCATTGATATATCAAGGTGCGATCAATTTGAATCATCGCACCTTTTTTTTAAAAGGCAAGACCCAGATACAGCATCTCAACCTTTACTTAGCCTTTTGTTGTTAACAGTTAATTAATCAAATTTTGAAGCAACTACCATTAATCTGCAGTTTTTAGATTTTTGGTGAAAACTTTGTTGAATTTTATGATTGATATTTATTTGTCAAAACCAGAAGGTTTGGAACAACAAAAAAAGGAAATTGCAAGCCATTGGATCAAGACGCATGGAGAACAATCATGCATCATTACATAATACAACGTAAAACGAGAGCCAAGGAACCACATATAGCACTAATGTCACTTATGGACATTATCACAGTGGTTCCCATATACTATGTAAGCACATAAACAAAGATATCGTTTCTTTATGAAGGCTTTACAAAGAATATAACAGTGGTTTCTCTAAACATCAAAAATTGTTCGAACAACGAACGAATAAAAGGCCTTCCAGTGCAAAATATAAGCATGATTTCACTGCTACAATAATCAACCAACTTAATGAAGTTTGAATTCTAAATCAAGCATTTAACAGAAAATCTAAAAGCAGGAACGTCTATGATGGGCCAGTGGAATTTGAACAAAATCGGATGAAAAGTAACAAGATTTGAAGTTTTTAAGATCACCACACAAATTGGCAATGATATGATTTCTGTTGCAAGGACCTATCCATTTAATTCTACTTATCTATGTTTTTATTTATTTATAATTTATACAATATCTACATGTATTGATCTATCTATCAATTCATTTATTTATTCATTCATTCATGTATTGTTTGTTTGATCATCAGCCAATTTTCCAAATATCAACATCATTGCATTAAGATAAATGTATTTAACAAAGGAATACCATAAAAAGCTTCCGATGATGAACATGTATTTTTTCAGCACATGTTTGAAACCGCATTATTCTTCAAGAAAAATGGAAACAATTTTTTTGTTTAAATCAAATATAAAGAAGAATGCTTTGTAATGAAAAACTGTACCATTGCCAATTTGAAGTACTTAGTGATCTTAAAAACTAGCTTGCTTATTTTCTTAATCAATTTTTTTTTCAAACATCCGCTGACTAGTTCCTATGATTTTTCTGGTTTAATTAAAATCAACATAATACCAGGCTAGACTTCCCCTATAAGTGATTAAATATGCCTAGAAAATATCATTCTACCCGAACCTTCAAATGTGGAAATGCATTATAGCAAAAGTAAGGCAAATATACCTATTGAAGGTCCATTTAGGGGGAAACCTTGAGCAACTATCGTAGGTTTGATACATGGAAAAGAATAAATATATTGTGAATATTGTTGAGTGCAGGATAGTTACATTGTATTTAGATTCTTTGGTGTACAAGTTATAATACATAAATCGCCTGCCCTGAATCATTATCTCTGTTGAATATATTGGTGATATATGATAGCGTTCAAATCGACTCATTGAATCCCGTTTGTTTGTTTTTTAACTGTGCATTCTGTACCTACATCTTGAATAATAAACAAACAAAGAAAATGTGGATATTAATTGCAATTCTTTGCAAATATCAAAATAATTCTGTCCTTTCCCCCGGATTAGATTTTAAAATACATTTATGAATTCCAAAGCAAAAACAACAAAAAAATCACTTTCAATTACATGGCTATCTAATCCACTGGGCATCATAAGTCGTCAATTTCTGTAACGCTATTTGTAGTGAGTGCCAATTACAATATAAAAGTTTGAGTATACAGTATATGTAGTATTGATTTTTTACTCAATACCAATACATAATCAATTTGGCCTGTATATAAGCTAATATGATCCATACATTAGCATGACTGCAGCAATCCAGATAATGACAATGCTCATATTATTAAACTAGTAAGTGAGAACATGCCCCCGTCTTGCAAGGGGATGAATGGAAACGCACCCAAATTTTAGAGGACTAAACGGAGGAATACACATGAGAGCATGCTCAAATATTGTATAGAATTAATGGGAACACATTCTCACCGAGAAAGCGCTCCTATCTAGACCATTGGGAACATGCTCCCATTCAAAGACAAGCACACACATCCAACTCGCTCCGGATCTCGATGTGAACGTGTAGGATCACGTATCTATCTTGCATCAACGGTATAGATGACTGCTTGTGCTCCATTGCTTGTGCTGCCTATGTAGGATCCTTATCCATACAGTTTTTTCCCTGGCTTCACATGGCTCCCCCTTGTCCATCCAGGAAACCTCTGTTATGATAAAAGGACCATTGTCCTTCTCCAGTGGCGACAGAGAGCTCAGCAGCTGTCTGGGTGCTAAAATCAGGGAGCTCCTTCCCTTGCCCTCTAGAATAGCAGAAGCCTTTGTTATGATAAATAGAAAGACTGTTGTCCTTCTCGAATGGCTTCAGAAAGCTTATCAGCTGTCTGGGTGCTACAGTCAGGGAGCTCCTTCCCTTCCCCTCTAGGAGCCTTTGTTATGATACATGGAAAGATTGTTGTCCTTCTTGAATGGCTTCAGAGAGCTTAGCAGCCGAGGCCGACTCGGTGCTACAGTCCGGAAGCTCCTTCCCTTCCCTACCCCTCCCCTCTAGGAGTCTTGGTTATGATAAATGGAAGGATCGTTGTCCTTCTCGAATGGCGACAGAGAGCTTAACAGCTGTCTCGGTGCTACAGTCGGGGAGCTCCTTCCCTTCCCCTTCCCCTCTAGGAGCCTTGGTTATGATAAATGGAAAGACTGTTGTCCTTCTCGCGTGGCTATAGAAAGCTTGGACGCCATGACTTCCATGGAGGTATAGTCAGGGAGCTTCAGGTAGTTCACACAAGTCATCACAGAGGGAAGGAATTTGTCCGGGTCCTCGGAGCCTTCGAACATCTTACGTACGATCGTCAGAGGAGGATTCAGGGAACGGAAACCTGGAGCAAGGAAGGTGCAAAAAAGAGAGTGTTAACTTCTTATCAAAATTATTCTTACAGTCTGCTAATATGATAATAATAATAATAATACTCAGTTTTTATATAGAGCAAATTACAATCAAGTCTTTAAGCGCTAATTATGGCAATGTGAATGAAATTTGAACAGGATCAAACAGGGCTAGATATACTTCACACATATTCCAATGTTATATGCTATGAAATGGCACAAAAAAATTGACTCACAAAAAGAGAGTATAGTACAGTATACTACAAGCATATAGTACAGGTCGAAATCCATCATTTTGTCACTGTTTCAGGCTTCAGGCTTCAGGCTTTCCCTTTGGACAGATTTAGGATTAGGGCCCACACGTATGCTGCTATTAGGTTGTAGGTTATATTTAGGGATATCGTTACGGATAAGGTTGGTTGCTCCTTTAAAACGGTGGCAGCGGTGGGATCGAAAATTAAATTCTGGTTCCAATTACAAGTTAGGGTTACGGATAGGGTTGGTTGCACCTGTGACAAATGACCGACGGTCAATCTTTCTAGATGCTTATCAGATTCCTAACTTCAACCCTGGACCCAACACTATACCTAACCCCTTTATAAATTAACCAGTGACAAATAAATATATGCTATCATATATATGCAAACACTACCTCCACTTATTACCAGTATATACCTACAAATGTGTAGAGAAACTTTGTAGAGAACCAGACCCGAAACATGGTTAGGGCACATATTCTGTACTGTCTTGATGTGATGATACTTGACTTTCTGACAATTAGTATTATTTGTAACATATCTATAATAATAATAATAGCTCGTTCTTATATAGCGCTTTTCAGGACCGGAGGCCCTCACAAAGCGCTTTACAGATAAGTATATTATTACCCCGGTCATTGGATTCTATAAAAATGGTGGCAGCAGTGGGATCGAAAATTTGATTCCAGTTACAATTACAATTTAGGGTTTCATTTAAACGTTATATAGAGAGAGTGATGATGTTCGTACCTCCTACAGGGAGTTTGGGGCTTCCAGTGACGAACTGAAGAAACTCCCTCTGTTGACTGTCTGTGTACGACGCCATGAGCTCAAATAACAGCTTCACAGCACGACTGTACAGAAATGAATAACAATAAATTGACAGTATTAAATACAGAATATTGTAAAATAAGGTAGGATTAGTCATAGAAATTATGATAAATTTCAATTGCTTTGGATATGTGGAAAGATCTCGGCAGGTTGTAAAATCATCTGATATTTGCCAATGGTTAATGACAGCTATTTCAAATTGATGTTGTGATACCGTAAGTGTATTAAATTCAATTGTTTTCCAACATTTTTGTGAATCTCAGCCACTCACAAGAGTTGCAAAAGTGTCAATATCCTATGTATCAATATTCTAGTTCTCGACAATTACTGTTAGATTGAAGTCTTTGAAATCTTACAGTTTGTTTCAGTACATGATCATGAAGGATAAAATCTATAATTTTTTACATATTTTTTCTTTTAACAATAGATTGCAAGGACCTGATGTTGCAATCAAAGCTGATCAAAAGCTTGAAGCTCAACCACACCTTTGACAAAGATGCACAGCCAATCATTCAGTCTTATACCTCACAAACAAAGTTTATCAACTATTGGAATTGATTGATTTATTTCCACATTTCTATAGAAAAATAACAAAATACATGATATACATATTGATTATTCAACACATTAATGACATAATAATATATATTTTTAATGATTAATAAGAACAAAAGCAGAATTATTGAATAACATTAGACTACATACATATTAATGTCAAAGTAGCAGATTATAAAAAGTCACAAACTCCATGTTTATATTACTAAATGTATAATTTATATTGGAACTACAAAAATGTAAGAAAGAATCTTACCTATCATGAGTATAGCCGTGATCAGGCCTGCAGCATTCTAGTAACGTCTTGATATCCCAAGGCTCACTACGATTCCCACAGAACAGCTGATCCAACTGAAATGGAACAAACAAAACATACAAAATTGTTTTTGAAAATAAAGACGTCCTAAATTCTCATAAGCTCTTAGAACATCTCACCACATTTTATCTTGGATATGACTGCAAATTCAACAAAAATGCAGTAGTTATTCATTAATAAATGCAGTATTTATAAAAATGAAGAAATCTAAACAGCATTTTGTTATGGGTGTGAGATACAAAATCAAAGTAGAAGTCAATTTTATGTACAGACTACACCTAATATCCACAAATGACAGGAACATTTCTACCGTTTCCAAAAGGGTATTCTAAGAGCTCTTCTATAATATATGTCCTGAACTTTTGATTTAGAGCCTCAGAAAATATGCCAGATGCACGAATAGAAAGGACAAAAATCAATGCAGTTTATGCAGAAAATTTTGCCTGCACTGCATCCATTTTTGCTTCACAATTGTAATGCGTTTGATGTCAGGAATTCACAAAAGGAAATGAGCTTTAAAATCCTTATATTGGCAATACGTTGAGAAATTCAATATAACTGTTTTCAGACCCAAATTTGCCATTTTTGTTCAACTATTCAGCACCATTCTTGCCTGCTTATATTGTTTTCAGAGACATTAGTTGATTTATTTTAACAATGTAGCAATTACAGAAAGATAAAAATTGTTGCCAATTTGAATTCTGTCCAGTAAGGATTAATTGCCGTTAGGACGAAACCTACCTCTTCTCCGTAGAAGCTTTGCAGATGAGAGAGAGGGAACACGGACTGGAATCCATCTTTAAGAGCTTCAAACTGCCTGGATACGCCCTCGTTCAGGGTCCAACGAACAACAAGCTGAAGAGAAAGAGAAAACACACGCATACATCTATGTTATAAAACAGGTTTAAGAATGTGGGCAACACATGAACGTGCATTATTCTTTCCTACCATGCATACTGTGCAAAAACGTTTGCATCAAAAAGTGATAATGAAAGGCTGAGATGCACGTATTCATATCTCTAGCGCTTACAAAATGGCAAGGACATCGATGCACGCATTGAGACACACATTTTACTGTTCGACTGCATGCTTTTTATGATGTCATTCAATAAAGCACAATGGCGGCCTTCATGACAGTGGGACTGTTGGCGTTTTGATCAGGTGTGTTGTTTATTTTTAGAATTCTTGTTTTAGTAATCAAGACTTGATAATAGTGTCAAGAATTCAGAAGAAAAAGAAAAATAAGTAAAGACTGCATTACATACACATGAATAATATTTTCAAATTTTTCATAAAATTATGAAATATTGGAAATTTATTATGACTTACCTTGAGGTACTCATCTATATTATGAATGGTGACATCGATGTCCTTGCCTCCTTTCTTCAGTTCTATATGAGGATAGCCTGGCAGCGTGAAGTCTAGCCCTAGCTCCTCCACTGGGCTACCGTCTATGCTCAATGACTCCAGGGCAAGCTGGAGACTGGCAGCAGTCTAGGTGTAAAGATCAAAGAAATTCATTGAATACATATTTAAGAAGTATTGAATGACAACAATTCTATTGAATATTCATTTAACATCCTCAACTGGGCTACCGTCTATGCTCAATAACTCTAAAGCAAGCTGAAGACTAGCAGCAGTCTAGGTGTAAAGATCAAAGACACTCATTGAAAACATATTGAATACATATTTAAGATGCATTGAATGAATAACAATTTTATTGAATATTCATTGAATGTGATGCAAGTAGGATGAATTCTAGCCCCTATAGCCCCTCCACTATTTAGGGAAAGCTAGAGACTGGCAGCAGTCTAGAAATAATAAACAAATATATCATTTAATTTTGAATACTCATTGAATGGAAAAGATATCTATTGAATATCCATAAGTACATAACAGTAGCCAACAGTAATTACAAGATGAAAAGCTCTAGTACATCTTTATTCACTTATATTCTTGGGTTTGTCCGTACCAATCGTCTCCATCAACTATTCCATACTTTTAGGCTTACCTGAGAGGGGTCATTGACCAGCCGTTGTTTCTGCTGACCAAGCTCCTCAAGCTGTTGGAAGGATCGGGCCAAGGTGCGGTCAATGAACTGAAGGTCAGACGAGGTCAGCGAAGCCTCCGTCCCCAGGAGCCACTTGAAAAATGGCAGGCTAAGTGGAATGTCAATCTGCAGGGATTTTTAAAAAAAAGTTAATGGCTTAATATAAAAAAAAATAAAGTACAATCTATGATAATGATGATGGTGATGATGATGATGCTGATAATTATAACAACAACAATAACAACAACTATCTGTAGTCGTATTATACCCGTCAGGCCATGGGAAAGACACATAGTCTCGTCATGCTACACCCCATTTAAGCGATTGTCATCTGTGAGCTTCCTGGTTTCTAGTGATACAATATTGGCTATATTTGTGGATTTTCGTTGAAACATCAATAAAACAGAAACATGCCAACCTCGAGTCTAGGAAAGTCTCTGCAAGGAAGCGTCCAATGAACTTTGGTTTTTGCTACAATTAAGGCCTCAAAGAGGGAGAGTAGGGCAGAGGCTAGACAGACTGGGAATCAGAAAGAGAAAGAGGGAGAGAATACCCACCATTCTAGAGTCCATGAGTGCCTTTGCGATGAAACGTCCCATGAAGGTAAATTTGGACTTGATCTTAGCGACTACGGAGGCCTTGGCGTTCCGTCCCATCGGGGATGGGAAGAGACCGTGGGGCGAATGGATGTACTTCACTCCAGCTTGCTTGCCTGTGTGAAAGATTGAAAGGAAACATGACATTAAAGAAAATGATTGCATTTCGTCTGTTTGGAAGAGGAAGAAGGGAGTTAACTTGCACTATTTCACAGAGTTAACACCCATCTCAATCCTAACAATTTGTTAACATACTGTTCATTGCAAAGTGTCGTCTCATTGATAACTTGCCAACAGTGCGTAACCTAATACCCAACCCCCACTTCGCAGACAGAGGACTCGATGCAAGAACCAACAGCCCAGCTAGGTAAGCAGCGAGTTACGGGACCATACTGCTGCAGCTGACCTTAGATGGTGCTAGAGAGGATTCAGCAGTAGTGCTTCTAGTACAGTATGGTTTTAAAGGCACACTGTCCTACTTGTAGCTACTTGCTCCCTCTATATAGAAAACTTCCCCAATCGGTGCCTGTTGGTCCCCCATGATCCTCTTTTTGTTATGTTAAATGAGAGCTGAGTTAATGAGATAGCCACCTGTCACAGTGACCTCGCTGGCTCGCTGGGTGGTCTAATCCCTTCTAGCTGAAGTAGTAAAGCCTGCCTTTAAAAAATTAAGGGAGAATGTTTACCTTTTGGGTCTGGTAAAAGAACTGATTCTCCTCTCCAGAGATCGAGGTCGGCTCGCTGTACCTCTCTTGATACCAGGGCGTAGAACTCGAGGGTCGGACCTAAACCAGTACCAACCTGTGGGAAACAATCAGTAAGGAGGATGTATACATTGAAGGGGAGAGAGAGAGAGAGAGAGGGGGGGAGGGAGAGAGAGGGGAGAAAGAGAAAGAGAGAGGGGGAGGGAAAAAGAGAGAGGGGGAGGGAAAAAGAGAGGGGGGGTAGGAGGGAGAGAGAGAGAGATATAACACAAGCAAGATAGAAGTAAGAATGGGTATAGGAAGAAGGGGGTAGAGACATAAAAAGATGGAGAGATAGAAAGAATCAGAATGAAAGAGAGGGAGATGGAGATTTAATATTTATTTAAAGACAAAGTGAAAAAATCAATATAGACAACCTAATCTAGAAACTGTACATGGAAAGAAAAAAATTTGAAGAAATTTGAACATCACTCTCAAAGCTTATCTTTTGAAGGTAATTTTTACTGAAATAACCAGATATAGATCGATACGTACATGTATGCATCAAAATGAAATCCATTTATTTGCTTGTTTAGCTCCTCAATTTTTATTTGGCATTTATATATTGTAACTCATATCACAAGGAGAAATAAAATAGAAATCTGTGAAATGTACGGTATTTAAGTTATCTCACATCCATTTTGAGTTCATTCATATTTGAAATCATGCGGAACCCTGAACATGCCCAAATTCTCAACAATACCCATTCAATATTATCAAAAGTTGCCAGCAGCTTACCTCATCTTCGTACTGTATTTCCAGCACTGCCCTGGAGTTAGCTAGATCCTCCATGACCGACTCAGCCTGCCGTAACAGATCTGCTCTTGATACACTTCTCTGTAGGGAAAACAGACCAGAGATGCATGAACAATAAATGGAAATAAACAAATGCGTTCAAACCTAAGGCTTGAAGCACACTACAACACGACCTGACAACGATCCGATTTGTGAAGAATTTGCAATAATATTTGTAGTGGACATTCAAGTGATTGTACATGTACCTTCAAAAAGTCACAACTTCCCTATTTTTAATAGGTTTTTCTTCAAACTTTCACTGACCTGGGGGGGGGGGGGGGGAATGTTTTCCCAAAGACTAAGATTGACTTTAAGTTGGGCTTAACTATGGCAGGCCGTCCATGCCACGAGTTTCTCTCATCATTGGTCTCTCAATTATGATCTTTAGATACTATTTTTGTCCTTCAATAATGAACTATCAAAAAGGTAAATTCTGTACATTTGTGACCACGATTTGTACGTCCCTTGAGAAACGCAATGCCAGGAATGGTTAGAGGAACTAGTGGCATGAACGGCCTGCCATAGTTAAGTTCAACTTAAACTCAATCTTAGTCTTTGTGAAACACTCCCTCGTTCTCTCATTATTTTATTTTCTTTAAACCAACTAAATATCAGGATGAACTTCCCCTTTGAAAATTAATACTATGCAGAGGAAATAAACTCTTCTCTTCCCTACTCATATGAAATAAACAAAACATACATCTATTTCAAGCCTAACTCTAGGCACTACTCACTTTCCTTCTGTCCAATCTAGGAGCAACCCTCTCACTATTCTCTGATGTGGACATGTCTGGGTTGTTGTCCTGTAGCCTCTGCATGGCTCGATCCCTGTCAAACGCTGTGGTGTAGAACAGGAGCTGACGGGTGTCAAACGGCAGCAGGAACGGACTAAAAAGAGAAGAGAAGTGAGGTCTTTAAAGATAAAGTTGAATTCTGGTCATGCGATTGCATTGTGAAAGAAACGTTGTGAAATCGATCAGAAAAGGTTGATCATCGAGCATACAAGTATTGGTGTGTACTGCAAGGTTCTGAAATCATCAAACTGACGCCACCCACACCCACAAACACATACCTTTGCAGCTTAATTGCCCAGGCAGCTAGTTTACCTCAATTGATCTTACAGGTAAACTTGCATGTTCCAATTGAAGTACAGTGAAGGGCACTCACTCCCAGATACATCACAAGATTACAGAATGGCTATCCCACTACCCAGTCATCTTCATAATAATTATCCAAAGGAAGGATAAGAGGCTTGAGCACAAAATCAGAAGATGGAAGAAGATGTCAGGGATATTAATTAAACACACATAGTAGTGGGCTCTCATCAGGTATTCGACACCATTCAAGGGTTTACCCAATAACAGGTGTTGTCAATCACCAAGATTAGCCTTCAGTTTTATGACAAACAGACCTTATACAATGCTCTGCATTTCCCACCCATCCCCCTAATTGGTAAAGTCGTTATCTTACATTTCCCGCACCCAAAGACTCTCTGAGAGACTAGGGGTTATTTCCTGATGGGACCACAGGTTGGCTGTGTGCGAGACTTGTACACCCATTAATGGTATTTCCACAAAATCTGGTGTCAGCAAATTATGACCTTCTGCACATGGAAAACTCCCTTTAAAATAAAACTCCTAATAAAACTGGAGAGACCCACTCACCATGCCTGTGCCACTGCGTTGAGCCATGAAGGTAGGTTGCCAGTCATTATTACTAAAGGATCCTGTAGCTGTCTGTTAGCCTTGGCCGACAGCTTGCTATTCACAACCTCACTGCTACTTACTGCCTGCTGCGGTAAAGCTCCCTATTAAAAAAAAACAATGAGAAAATAAGCCTAACAATTCAAACAGATTCAACTATCTTAATATATTTGTGGCTTACACCCAGTAAATAAGATCGATTGATTGATCTGTAATTGCAAAATAAGTCAGAAAAAACCTTGGAACCAGCGGGACATAAACCTGCAATCTACTGCTTGCCGGGCAGCGACTCTACCACCAGGCCATCAGTGGTCCATGGCACAGTCACGATGAACTAGAAACAGATTCAACTACTTGTCAACTCTTATCCCAAAACAAATTGTTGTAAAGCTCTTGGAATGCATTTTATATTTAGCATCAAGTATCACTGGTGTCAAGTAGCAGATTTACACTTATTTTACAAAAGATCAAAGGAACAAATATATGGTAAGTGGATATTTTCCTGGTGAAAACACAAAGACAGTGTCACCCCAATGGAAAATGAAAAGATCAGTGATGATTATTTGGTAAATATAATCTGATTACCGGATATCAATTATTCCAATGTCTGCTAAGGCCGTAGAGAACCATTAGCAGTGTGATAGCTGCACAGGAGGGTTCTTCGATAGGGACAGAACCAGGTACTTACCGGATAAAGATTATTCCAATGTCTGCTAAGACCGTAGAGAACCCTTAGCAGTGAGATAGCTGCACAAGAGGGGTCTTCGATAGGGACGGAACCAGGTAGATTGCTATGTAGGTACTTATGGAGCTCCTTCTGTATTACTGGACACACACCATCTGCAATTAAACAAGAATTCAGCAAGAGTAAGTTCATGATTCAATCAAAACTTCCTTGCCACATCAACAAAAAAATTGCAGTGTGATTCATTTATCTTTTCATTTGGTTACTCATTGATTTCAGCTTATCAATTTGTGCTCGAATGTAAGGAAAAGCAACCTAGAAATTGTTTTCCTCTGTTGAATACTTTGCTAGACATGACTCGAAATAAATTGTATCCAACAGATCAAGTAAGGGGATATCTATGTATTTTTTATCTAGATCATTTTCGTATAAAATGAAGAATAACCGTAAAATCAAAGAAACTCTCACAAAGGAGGAAGTAATTTCAAAGAACTTCAATACTCTTGTCACCATTCAAGTAAGCTTGCTTCCCATAATGGACTGATTTTTCCCTACAAATGTCTACATTTCGACTAATTAATTTCCAAGTAATTTGTCTGCTTTAGACACAAAGAGAGCTGAATTTGTTTCACTTAAAAGGTAATCTCAGTGAGCTCTATACTGAAATAACTTTTAGATAGAGTCTGCTTGTCTAAAACCTTTAAAGGCATCGTTTAACAATGTTAAATCTGAGATACACGGCCCTAGGTGTTATCACTGTCTGTGATATGGTGTAATATTGAAGCCCTAAAAAATTGCACTTCAAAATGATCATGAAGTGCCTCAAAAAAGTAAATATCTTTGAGTGACCGGTTTTACCATACTCATTTCCCCCTATAGACTGTAGTGTTAAGAAAACCATTAGGAAAACGCAAAATGAAATTTTGATTTCCAATCATGAATATCTTGATAATCAGACAGGCGATCAGTTTGTAAAAGTCATGGGATACATGTATGACCTAAAGGTTTACAATTATGATTGCAGCATGAGCTAAATTCAAGATTTTGTTTCAGAATCTGAGACAAATTCACCCAATCTCTTTAAACGCGACTTGGTCTATACATACCCATCCACATCTCGTCATGTTTTCTTCCCTTAGAAGAGGACTTAGACGAGCTCCCTCCCTTGCCTTTCCTGGTGCAGGTCGTGGTGGTGGTCGTGCTGCTGTTCGATGCCGATGATGACTTCTGGGTGGAGGGCGCACCAGCCTCTGGGACGGGTCGGTACCTAAGCAGGAAAGGCAAATCTTGCAGGTTATGAATGTATCTCTGTTGTGTTAGTTTTTACTTATAGAGTCAAACCTGTCGATAGCGACCGCCCAAGGGAAACACAAAAAGTGGTCTTTGTGGACAGGTTCCTTTAGTACATGTTTCAATGAGAAACCATTTTCAAGGGGAACAAATAATGTGGTCTTTGTAGACAGGTGGTCACTAAAGCAGGTTTGACTGTAATGTACAAAGTCTCAATGAATAGCTAGTTGTTTCTCATTTCTAATAAATATCCATGTTCGATAAAATGGGATTGAAATCCTCATACCAGAGATATCATCTTAAAGCCTATCTGTACTAGTTTGGCTAGGAGGGATTGGACCACCCAGAGTGGTCACTGACAGGTGGTTATCTTATCAACTCAGCTCTCAATTAACATAAGAAAAAGAAGATCACGGGGGACCGATTTGGCATTTTTTCTATATAGAGGGAGTTAGTAACTTCAAGTAGTACAGTGATGCTTTAAAATGGATGGATATATTTTCATTTCAAGACTAAAACAACACAAATACTAAAATTGAATATATGAGGCAGAGTCATTTTTAAACCAGATTGTTGAATTCTTGGAGATATCGTTATGGTAGCAATAAGCACATTTATTTAATCAGGATGTTTTTTGGGATATGCACCATGCCATAGCAATAATTTTTAATCATTATGCGAGACACAACGATTTTAAATTGACTCTCTCCATGCTTTACTATAGGATCAGTTTGCCCTTCACATACATGAAAAATGTTACACTACTGCAATAAAACTTATGATTTTTCTTTTAAACTTCCTAATCAGGTCATATAGTATCATAACTCACCATATGGTATGTGTCTTGATCCAAATACCTGCCCTTCCTAGCGGGTTGCTCTCATCGTCGGTATCCCGATCGTCTTCTGATGCACTGGCAGCGTTACCAAACTGCTTGATAGCCTGGTAGACGGTCATGTTGTACGGGAGGACTTGTTCTCCGATCAAGAACTGGAGTTTGTGCTTGATGTTGGTGTTTGAGCTAGAGAAGGCCGTTGCCTGGAAGATATAACAGAACAGGGGTGTTTCACAAAGATCATAAGTTGAACTTATCTCTAATTTATACATAACCATTATAGATATCTATTTGGAGCCTTAAAATAAAATATATTCAAAAGTAAAAAATTGAAGTATTTTAGACTTTTCATAAATTCCACATCAAGAACATGAGATCTCCTCGATAATAGAAAATATTAATGATTTGAATCAACATTTTATGCCTTTTAAAATAACTTTTACAAAATATTTTCTAAGATGCTAATGGCTTTCCATAATTTTTAAGTCCAACTTAGAGTTAAGTTTGACTTAGGATCTTTGTGAAGCACCCCTCAGATGTGTAAGGTTTGTAAACTGATAAAATGATGTTCTTTCTCCGATCAAGAACTGGGGTTTGTGTTTTGTGTTCGTGATGGAGCTTGAGAAGGTGAATGCCTACATAGGAAAGAGGGAGATGATTTTTAATACATCCCCCATAATTTCAATCTTGTGCTTTTTGTAGAGGTGGAAAGACATTTTTCACATAAACGAAATTCACACTGAATGTTACAAATGCAAACAACTAGCCCATAAACTGGAAGTAAAAGGGGTTAGCGAAAACAATGAATGTCATCCGTTTTGATAATTTTTGCATTTATTATCGCACAATTTTACAATTTGCACCCTAAAGGGAACCAAGATTAATGATACTTACCACAGATTCATCAATCTCATCGTCCGATGCATCATCATCACTATCCTCATCATCCTAAAAAGATACAACATGCAAGAGGACCGATTACAAAAGGCATATCTCATAAAATTCCTGCCACCAAGAACACATAAATATATGCTTAGGGGGTCAACCGATGATCATAAAGGGTAGTCAGTTTCCATATGCAAAAGGCCATAATTCGCTGACACCATTAATGGGTGTACAAGTCTGCAGACAGCAAACCCATAGTCCTATCAAGAAATACCCCCTAGTCTCTCGGAGTCTTCGGGTGAGGGAAAAGTAAGATAATTACTTAACCATATGGGGGAACACAAATCTCAATGAAAACAAACAGGACCTTTGTTAGGTGACCGCATTTGCCATTTATTTACACTTCAAATTAAAAAGCAGGTTTTTTTTTTTTTGAAGCGGTTTACTGTGTCATACATGTATCTGAACAAGCCTTTAGTGGCTTGTAAGAAAGAGAAGCTTACGAAACCCAAGAAGGATATCTTCACTGACCTGTCTCATGCGTCCATAGTTCCTGACCATGAGGTACCTCTCGATGGCTTGCACCAGGGCCAGCGGGTCAATCTTGACCGGTCCGCCCCTCCACTGCCTCAGGTTCGTGCACTCTGGATGCCTCTGCAGCTGGCACTTGAGCTGATGGGTGTTGAAGAACTTGAGCGCCTGGGAACCCCTGGTGCCTCCCGATGACCCCCCGGCGCCGGGGAGGTCGTGAACTTTGACCGGGAACTGCTCCAGGTGGCTGATGCAGCCGTTGATCTTGTAGACGAGGGAAGCGAAGGGCGCGCTCTCGGGGATCTCCAGTGAGGTGAAAGGAGGACTGCCTGGAGCCTATTGTTCAGAGGAGACAAAGAATCATATCTTTTTATTCCTTGTCTCGTTTTATCCAAGGTAAAATGAAAACTTAAAGCAAAGGCCAATTGCATAAGCAAGAGGATTGATCAATTAAGAATCTGTCTAAAGATAAATTTTTAATGTATCTTCTATTTTGCACGATCTGTTTGGATGCTATCAAAACACACTGTCAATTATTAATGACTTTATTGAAAACCGAAGCTTTATCAGCCATTCCCTCTTTATTTTTCTTTACTGCAGTTAACAAAAATTCAACAAAAAAGGAATTAATCAAATGCGAGCCTATGAACAATCACTCTTAGTTTGCTATTCTGTGTGCACCTTTTCATCGCAAAAGTCACATTGACTTTCCTCGGATCTATCCTTTCTGATATTGACATATTACATATCTACAACTGTCAATGAAATGTTTTAGTTTTTTAGTCTTTTAACACTAGACTCAAGCTTACATGATTCAGGGTAACATGTCTCATCTTCACTGAAGGAAATATGGTAACTAGAACCAATACTTACTGGGCATTCTAGGAATATATGTAGGAAACGTTGCAGTCTAAGATCCCTCGGGACGGCATTGTGGTCACTGTTGCTGGTCATGTAGTCCAAGAGTTTGACCACCAGACCGCTGTGCAGGATCTCAAAGGCGGATATGTCCGAATTGGTGAGGATGTGAGCAATGCTCCGGAGCATTTCGCAGCCTTCATCACTCTGGGTAAGGAAACAGGAGAAAGGTTTGTCAAAAAATCAACCACTTATCGAGGGTCAAGATGTTACTAGTGCAAAGCAAGACTGTGGGATATAAATTACTGTACTGTAAAAGTAGAAATATTTGTAATACATTAATTTTCTTGATTTTGCGCTAAGATCGGCATGACTTCTTATGCATGTTTTAACGGGCTGAATTGCGTGCAATGCAAATTTAAGAACCAGGAATATGTTTCGGGGTCGCTCAGCGCAAAAAATTAATTATAAGGAAAAAAACAGTTCAAGAATAATATTTTCACAACCTGTTTACAGACCCTATCGATAAAACTAAAACTTTATATCAATGGAAAGCTAAATGAAATTTGAATACAAAGATATATAGGAAAACAAAACACTTTCTCTTGCAGTAATACACAAAAGCAAATTAAAACTTCATTTACCACCCCCCCCCCCCCCCCCCACCAAAAGATTTAAGGGTCAAATGGGTTCAAATTTGCCGCAATTACGATGACAACATAACATGTGGACCTGATTGGCTCGCCTGTATAGCTGAGGCGATAAGATGTGCTTAATTAAATGCAAAGTCATTGTGAATATGCATACTCCACATAAGATGATGTCATTGAGTCAATTAGAAGTTAGTAGTTGAACCTCATTACCAAGTCCCTCAGAGAGGACTCAAAGCCATCGATCCCCTGGCTGCTTACTTACAAGCATACACATGCTTTCTTAGTTAGTAATCAGGTAAAACAAACGAACAAATTTTCTGATCTCATTATTAATCTGATGTAATACCTCATGATGAACTAAACTGTTACTAAATCTAAAACTGTGACCTAGGCCCTCTTGTATAAAGAGTTGCGTTTAAACTCAATTCTCAAAATCAAATGCATGTGCTAAATATCAAACGCAAAGTTAAAGAGTTGCGTTTGATTTCAAATGCAACTTGATGATAGATATATTACCAAACCAAAGTTGCATTTGATTTCAATCGCAACTCTCTTTATGCAATGCGCAGATGCGTTTGATTGCACGTTGCGTATGATATTTGCGTTTGATCTAAGTTGCAATTAATCGCAAGTTGACTTTGGAAGAGGGCCCTGAATAGACCAAGAGTAGTTACCTTTAGTGTCAGTTTGTCTGCATTGGTACAGAGCTGATTGAGTAAGGTAAGGGCTGGGTGTGATTCTCCCTGGTGATCCGTTTGGCTGAAGTACTGACGTATAAACTGAGATGCTGCAAACGAGAATATGAAACACAAGCTCAAAAGATTAGATTCAAATATGAGTAAAGCATTGCTCAGGAAAGAAAGAAATGCAATTGAAAAAGTATGGCATAGAATATCCCTTTCAGGAATGGATTTTTTTTAATGGCTTAAAGTGGCACGTTCCCGGCAGTGTAGTTATCGCTGCTCTAGTCATCGCCATCTTGGTTCCGAAGATCGACTTCTAATTTGCATACAGCTGTCAATCAAAGTACGCACGGCCTGGCCTGCCTTCGCCAAGCCAGCTGTTCGCTGACGATCGCGACGTCACGAAAGTGGGCGGAAACAGCAGCCGAATCTTAGAGCCGAACTGCGATTGGCATTACTTCGGCACATGTATGCGATAATCGGTAATGTCCGGGCATTCGGAACATGCCATCTGCGTAAGAGCCGTATTCTGTTGGTGCACCATCCGCCAGCGGGTACGTATTTTGAACGCCCTCTGGAATACGGGGAACATGCCTCTTTAACTGATCACCTGTAGCTCTTCAAATTGGCAACAATTACTTGTTCTCTTTGTTGCTACAATGTTATTTTATAATAAAATGTTAATGTCTCTGATGATGAAAAGTTTAAATAATGGCCTATTCTTATTTAAAAACAAATAATATAAAAAAAGAAAGATCTTGAACCTCTCAACATGTTGCCAATTTAGGAGTTCACAAACTTCATTCCCATCTTAAAATTCCTAGCATCAAACGCAATATGGTCATGCAACAAAAATGGCCTGAGTATGTGCAGAAAATTCTTCTTTTTGACACATGCATCTCGTCTAGTTTTTAAAGCCCCAAAACCATAAGTTATTGAGCCAAACGGAAATCACCAAAATGTGGAATGTCTCGTCTCACTCGTTAGAGGGCAGCAAGTCCTACCTTGTTCCTTGATCCAGGCCCTGACTTTTTCCTTCTGCGATCCGCTGGCATCCTTCTGCACCCCTAGGAGGTTCTCACTCCCGTGCCCTAGTATCCTGTCCGACCCGTACCCCATGCCTCCCCCGGCTCCGCCCCTCTGCAGGCCCATCTCGCGCCCTGCCGCGGTGTGCAGGTGGTGGTGATGGTGATGGTGATGGTGGTGGTGGTGGTGGTCGCTACCCAAGGCGGCATTGCTCGGGGTGGTGTTGGCGGAGGAGGGCGAGTTGGACGCGCCCCTGCCCCAGCGAGAGAGGTTGAGACTGGCCAGGAAGGAAGAACGTGAGGAGGTGGACCCGCTGACCATCTTGCCTGCATGTACAAGCAGTCAAAAGTTCAAGTCCAAGTTTTATTTCAATTCAAATTCATAAAAAGCACATAAGATACAGATGATATACAATATAGAAAACAGAGAACACACACAAAATGGAAACATGTCTACAAATTTACCGGAATTATACAAGGTTAATCAGCAATAGAAATGAATTGGGGAAACTGCAAATAAAACCATAAGGTTCTGTCAAGGAAAAGAAAAAGAAAAAGAATTTCTCAAGACGACATTAAGAAATTCAACGTAGTCTACTTAAAATGCTTTTACAAAAAGGTTTCAGTAAAATAGAGGAACTTAGGATTCATAACAGTAGTCCACGGGCTTAACCATAAGAATCATTCATACGTAACAGGAAAATTTTGGCAGCAATGTTTATGACTAGCAATCCTGTAAAGGGATACATACATGCATAGTATGAGACAAAGTTGGTTTGTCAATCCTGTCAAAAATGCCTAAAACGGACATGTTAACTGCGATGTTATAGACATAGTTATGCACTTATTTTACGAGCATAAACATCCTTCCTCAGCAGCCAGGCGGGTAAAACAATCATAGATAATCATGATATATCCATAATGAAACATTGACCCACCTGTCGAGCCTTTGCCCTTGCTGACCCCTGTCCTGCCCCCGCTGCCGCTGCCCGGAGCCCTGGAGGAGGGGGGCATGGGGACCGATACAGCACTCAGTCTGCCTGGTGGGGTGTCGATGGCCTCGTAGTGGTGGCCATGACCTCCCTGGGACGGCGTTGAGTCGTCGTTGCTGGCATAGCGGTTGCTCTTGCGGCCCGGACCTCGCTTGGTTGCTCGCTTGAGCTTCAATGCATCGCTCAGACGTCTGATGATGAGGGTAAAGAAAGATGAATTAAGTAATTGCCCATTCTAATAATCAATATATATCTCTTTTAATATTACATGTTGCTTGTTAATAACTCTAAAATACACAACCTGGCAGACTTATTCTTGTATTGTTGAATCCATTAATCAGTTCTTGTCGATGCAATCACAAGCTATTTTTGCATACATAATGAGCCGTTACCCAAAAATCTAATCCGTTCATTGGCTCTGCAAGATACATACATGACCTAAGTTTGGCGGGAGTCCATCAATGGGTCCTTGAGATAACGCAATCACAAGAGCGAGATGAACAGAAAACCCGAAAACATAATGCCCCCATCTGCTTTGTGACTGAGGCATAAAATTCATGTGTTTTCATGTGCTTTGGCATCAAAAAGTGGGGGGTCAAGTTCTGTGACATCTCATACTTGTACAACATGTCCCAGATTGATGTCCCAGTCTTAATACCCGGCGACTTAGTTTGGAAAGTTATTCTTATTTGTCTAGATCAAAGCAAAGTAACTAGTAATCAAATCATTGCCTCTTCCTTTGAGAAAATTAGGTACAGAAAATGTAATACTGTATTACTAATAAGGTGACAAACACTCACCCTTGAGGTACACCATCCGAATCTAAGCCCACATTGATGTTGATGGTATCCCGGGGTGACGGGGTATGGGTGGACGAAGCGGACGAGGCTGCCGAAGATGCAGATGACGCGGATGACGCCGAGGAGGCAGAGGATGCAGACGAAGCTGGGGTGGTCGAGGAGGAGGAGGAGGGGTCAGCAGCCGTTACCTTGGAGATGGGGAACTTATCTTTGATGGGAGGAGAGTTGTCCGCCGTGATGGTGGCCTCAGCGAGGTTCTTCACTTGATGCATCACACCTGGGAAAGATGTCAAAGGTCAAATTCATTTAATTAATTATTTATCTATCTATCTATTTATCTATCTATCTATCTATCTATCTATCTATCTATCTATCTATCTATCTATCTTTCTATCTTTCTATCTTTCTATCTTTCTATCTTTCTATCTTTCTATCTTTCTATCTTTCTATCTTTCTATCTTTCTATCTTTCTATTTATTTATTTATGTATGGTTCAACAGTTACACAGTATGACCATAACCATTATGGTAGTAAACACTAGATTACGATTAACGATCATTATATATTTGCAATTGTAAATAATACAGAAGAATACAGAGGTACGTCAATATAAAATGCCATAAAAATGCTGTAAAATGCAACTCGGCAAAATACATTTTTCAATAAGAGGTACCAATGACGTGATCTACAGGAAACAGTAGCAAAGAAAACGATCATAACATCTCATAATGTGCACAATGATTCTAAAACACTCTTTGAATGTCCACAAGTTTTCACACCAGAGTGCAATTTCCAAGCAATTGGAACATCAGAGCATAATGATGCTGTCAAACCTTTGGGGAGCGACGCTTACATTCTGAAACACTCTTTGAGTGTCCACAAGTTTTCACACTGGTGTGCAATCTCCAAGGTATTGGAACATCGGAGCATAATAATAATGCGGTCAAACCTTTGGGGACTTTGGGGAGTGAGGCTTACCTTCTCTGCGGAAGTAGATATGGAAGATATCCGGGAGCTTCTGCATGAGGATCTCAGACATCTGAAGGGCGCCTACGACAACCTTGAGGTCTTGAGACGATAGCATGGCTGCTATGTGACTGTAAGATCAAAATAGAAGACAAAAATCTCACTTTAAATAATATCAATAATCTTCATTGTCATTTGCAATCCTCGCTTTGGAGAAATGCTTATCTATCTCAAGGGCACTTACTACAACTTTAGGTCTTGAGACGATAGCATGGGTGCTATGTGACTGTAAGGTCAAAATAGAAGACAGAAATTTCACTCTAATAACCATATATTTTGATGCTCATTCGCAATCCTCACTTTGGACAAATGCTTATCTAACTTTAAAAAGAAAACATGTTAACAGACAGGGTAGCCAAGAACATTGGTACCTTTTAACATAAATATCTCAGTTGAGAAAACTAAACTACTGCCCTTTGATTTTGGCATCATGTCTTTGACATACCAAAACTCAGTTCGCACCTAAAGCAATAAGGCCCGTGTGCTGCTCTAAAAGCCTTATTTAATTCAAATCTTACCGTCTCGTTGAAAGAGAAAGACAAACAGCATTCAAGAAACACAAGTGTTACATTGTATCATTTTGAGATCTTCTGAGCACTGGCTTGTAAAGAGTTAGTCCTCCAATCAATCGCAAGTTTGCAGTCTCCTATCTCTTATGTACATGGTTGTGATTAATCTTAACTCTTTATAAGACAGGGCCCATGATGAGAATCAGCATTAGAGAACATATTTTTCTCAGTATCCCATCTTCCCAACAAATACACGTACCATGAAGAAGAAGAACAAAAAAACATGAGACTGGTGACCATTTCTTACCTGGATACCGCATGATTCTTCAGCATGTCCTTCAGCAGATCTGGCTTGCCAAAGAACACCATTCTTAGTAAGGCCTTCAAGCATTTATGTCTGACAGCAGGTCCAGCCTGAGCAAGACAAAGACAATACAAAACAAAAAATGATTTAGATAACTGTTTCACAGAGAGGTAAATGCAAGAGGTTGTGATTTTTGCAGAGAATGGTGGCAACTTTTATTCAGACAAGTTTTGTAGAACAGGGATTAGGCCAAATAACAAAGCTAATGTGTTTCTCGTCCAGACTATTTAAACAAAACATATATCACAGGCTGTTTTTTTTCTTCTTAATAGTAAATAGTAATAAAAAGGAGGCGGCGGGCAGGAACAAGAAACACTTCACCGGTTGGATGAGCGCATAAGCATGTTGCACATGCTTTTTGCTTGCTCTCCAAAAGATCTGATGTAATTAACGTTGTTGAATTATATTTATTTATGTTAAATTATTTTCGTTCAATGTACTTACCTCGTTAGGCGCCTTGAGCATCTCTTGGGGTGGATATGTGTGTATTATAAATGTTGTTATTAATATTTATTATTATTATTCATATTTGTTATTTGGCCTTATCAGTATTTTAATTTGTTCTTACCCTAAATTGATGGAATTCTTTTGCAGTATTGTTTGCAATAAGAACCTTAAGACATATTCCCCATAGATGCTGTGGCTTTGCTCCTCAATTTCAACAGTAAATACAACAAAATTCATCCAATTATCAGATTTAGCCGGTTTATCCTTGCCTAAGTTGAATCAAATCAATAAACCCTTTTTGAATGTTAACTTATCACAGTCAGGAAACCCCAAGGCAAGCTACTTACAGATGAGCTGTAGACTTCGTAGAGGACAGCAAAGAGTGACTTGATAAATGCAGCAGACTGGTCGCCATCTTCCTTCATGAAAACAACTCTTGCATCTTCCTTCGGCGTTGCTACTGCTGAAGCTGCAGTGAGGGACAAAAGATACAATATATGAATATTCAACTTGCACAATTCATACTTGTAAATATACCTCCTTTGGGAAGACCTATCTTGCATCTTTCTAAGGAACTGCTATGGTTAAAGCTATAATTAAGGGACAAGAGATACATCTATATTATTAATACGCAAAATCGCCGCGGGGGGTCCAAACGGGTACAAAACGGTTCCTCAAAAACGCCTTTCCCCGACCCCGCCCGCCTCCGCCGTGGCGCGGGGAGGGCGGCACAATTCCACGAGGCCTGTCTCCCGTAACCCGCGTGCCACGTCGACCCCGCGATCGACGTCCACGCCGTTAAACGCGGTTTCGGGGTGCCGGGGAGGACGGGCGGGCGAGAGCACGGCGGGCGTCGTGGATTGCGAGGAGGCGACGAACCCGCGAGAGCGAGTCGGCAAGGCGTGCACCCGCCCTCTGTCTAATTATCAAAGGGAGACGAAGAGACACACGATGGACGAGAATCCACTCGCGTCAACGGGTGTAGCAAATCCTATTGTAACGGGTGTGCGGCGTACCCCGAATTAGACCTCTTGCTATAGGATACGCTTTGTAGCATGTAAGAGAAATACACATTAACAGATGACTCACACAGGTGATGGGATGTAGCCAATATGTACGCTCAACGGGTTGAGCGTACCCGTGTTATGCGTCTTTCTATAGGATATGCTTTGTAGGCCAGGCGCCCATAGTGTACGTGTATTACACGCTCTCAGGTCACACACATGCACACACCACAGTCGATTCGAGTCGAGGCGATTGCGACAACTGGCGCAAACCATGGACCTATTTTCACGTAAAATCTTTACTCTGAAAATAATTATACAAATTCTGTGATCTATGCCAACATAATCATAGTCCAAGCTTCTGTTTTATTGGTCTTTTCATGAAAACTACATCGAAATCACAACAAGAATAGCGCAAATAGATCTGTGATAGTACGCCTTCACGTGACAGTTCAGTTGCAAACTGCCTTGAGTCCACAGTGTATTGCCACGGCAGCTGAGCGCTGCTGTCGGCGGTGCTGTCGGAGCTGAGTGTGTGAGCATGGAGTAGCGGTGACCGGAGTAGCCAGGTCTGTCCGTGGTGTGAGGAGAGTCTAAACAACACTTTGAAATTGCTATTATTGCCCCGATTTCAATATAGTTTCGTGAATAGATGTATGAAACCTGGGCTTGGATTGTGATTATTCTGGCCATGTATAGTTGTATACTGAATTTCGATAATCATTTTTCAAAGTAAAGTTTTCACAAGAAATATCAGACGGTCGTCATGGTCGTTTAAAAACATGATAATACTTTTAGTATGATACAGTTCTTGCATCAAATCAATTTTTAAAGTATGGGGGGGGGGGGGGTCAGGTAACTCAAAGCGATTTGAGTGCAGGCGTGGTGTCCACGGGTACAAAGGGCTGAACCCCCGAAAGCTCAGGGGTTTTAGGCATTAATGCCTTATTTGTGACACTGGCAGGTCGATCACTAATTGGCGTGGGGTCCATAGTAGAGTTGCGCAGTGGCGGATCCAGGGGGGGGGGGGCCGGGGGGGCCCGGCCCCCCCCCCCCCCTTGAGAAAAAAATCATGTAAAATCACGTGATTTTTACCTTTTTTGGGGGTTGGCCCCCCCCCCCCCCCCCCTCCCTGGCGCTCAAGGGGGGGGGGGGTGCAAATTGAAATTTTTGTGAGGATCAACTATTGTTTATGCATTTGTGCATATTTATTGTCTTTAAATTACCCGTTTTCAATCGTTGGTATAACGGAAACCTGGATGTATAATAGACCCAATATTTTTTCACTCTCTGGTTATACATTTATTCAGTCAGCTCGTTTGTCCGGGAGAGGAGGGGGAGTTGCATTCTTTATCGATGACCAATTCACTTTTCGTATTTTAGACAAAATTAATTTCAATATCGTAGGAGTAGAATCACTTTTTATTGAAATTGAAAGTAAAAGCTGTAAGAATATGATTATAGGAGTTGTTTATCGCAAACCCTCAAGCAGTGCTATCGATTTCATAAACAGATTTGAAAATATAGTGCACTCGATTTCTATGAACCATAAAACATGTTATATTATGGGTGATTTTAATTTGAACTTACTGGATTTTACTAAGGTCTCAAGTATCGGCAACTTTTTGAACATGTTTTTTTCTTTGGGATTTTATCCTTTGATCAATAAACCCACTCGTTTGTCTATAGATTCAGCTACCCTACTTGACAATATATTTACAAATTCAACCTATGATAGTATTGTTTCGGGTATTTGTGTTTCTGACATTAGTGATCATTTTCCTATATTTAGTATTTCATCTATAATTGGTTCACGCAGTACAAGTGAAGTCGATACGAAGTGTTTTGCACGTAATATTACCCCTTCTTCAGTTGCCTCTTTAACCAATGATTTGAAAATTACTGATTGGAACATGGTACTTCAATCAAGTGATGTGAATACTGCATATGATATATTTCTTGATAGTTTTACAACGTTATGTGATAAGCATATACCTTATCAAAAGAAGAAAAGCTACCGTAGAAATGAGATTAAAAAACCCTGGATAACTCTTGCTATTTTGAAGTTTATTAAGAAAACTAACATGTTGTATGGTAAATATAAATTGGACCCTTCTTTTGAAAATAAATCCAAATATAGGCAATATCGTAATAAAATAAATACCTTAAAACGATGTGCTAAAAGAAAATATTATTTTGATAAATTCACTGCTGTGAAGTCTAATTTACGTAAAACATGGAACGTTGTGAATACTATTTTGGGTAAAAAGAATCGTACAACGCGTCAAACGCTGCAATACAAAGGAAAAACTGTAAATGAACCAAAAGAAATTGCAAATATTTTCAATAATCATTTTGTCAACATTGGAGAAAACCTTATTAAGTCCATTCCTGACTCTAATCATTCATTCTCTGACTATTTACAAGGTAACTTTGTTCACAGTTTATTTTTCAAACCAGTAACTATCACTGAAATTTTAAATATTGTTAAAAAATTGCCTAGTGGGAACAGTTCAGGATATGATAACATAAGTACACGTCTTTTAAAGTCTGTCATAAATTGTTTACTCGTACCTTTAACACATATTTGTAATCTGTCGCTTAAGAATGGTGATTTTCCTTCAAACATGAAAATCGCCAAAGTAATTCCATTGTTCAAGAAGGGAGATACAGATAATGTTGATAATTACCGTCCTATTTCCATTCTGCCTTCTTTTTCTAAAATACTTGAAAGATTAGTTTTTAATAGACTATCAAGTTTTTTGGTTCACTTCAACATTCTGTCTAATGAGCAATATGGCTTTCGAAAAAATTCTTCCACAGGTCTTGCTATTCTTGATTTATATGATAAAATAGTCCATTATGTTGATGTAAATAATCATGCAATATGTGTTTTTATGGATCTTTCGAAAGCCTTCGATTCTATACCCCATGATATATTATTAGTTAAATTACATTTTTACGGCGTAAGAGGTTTACCTCACAAATGGTTTAAAAGTTATCTTGCCGAAAGGAAGCAATTTACATCTGTAAATTCTCATTGTTCTTTTTTTAATCTAATATCATATGGCGTCCCTCAGGGCTCTATTTTGGGGCCTCTTTTATTTTTGATTTACATCAATGATATTGTAAACTGTTCCACTTTCTGTAAATTCACACTTTTTGCAGACGATACGACTATTCTTGCCTCAGAAAAAAAAATTGATCTATTAACCCATAAACTGAATATTAATATGGAGTATGTTTACGAATGGCTAGTTTGCAATAAGCTATCTTTGAATGTTTCTAAGACTAAATTTGTTATTTTCAAAAATGCTAGGAACCTAAATCCTGTATATGACAATGTATCTATTTCTATCAACAATAGATTAATTGAACAGTGTCGAGTTTTTAATTACCTTGGAGTACTTTTCGATGAAAACCTATCTTGGACTTCTCATATTAATTATATTACAAAAAAGGTTTCTCAGAGCGTCGGTATTATTAGTCACTTAAGATTTGTTATTCCACTCCGTATCTTATTCATGTTATATAATGCATTTATTTTGCCATATATTATGTATTGCAATTCTGTTTGGGCGACGAAACATCCTTCTAAGTTACTCAAATTACATAGACTTCAAAAAGGGCATTACGACTCTGCTCTAATTCCCCTTTCTTAGCTCCCTCACAACCTTTATTTAGAAAATTCAATACTTTACATATTTATGATATTAATAAATTGCAAATTGCCTCATTGATGCAACGATTTTTCTCAAACTCACTACCTCCAAACCTTATGCACCTATTTAGTCTTAACAATGTGGTCCATACCCACTACACAAGAAATGCTGATAAATTCCATCATTGGAATGCTTCGTCCAATATACTAACCGATTCTCTCCGTTATGTTGGTCCAAAAATGTGGAATTCCCTACCTCCATTTTTACAATCTGTTGGATTTAATAATTCTTTCAAAAGACTTTACAAGAAACATCTTCTCTCTCTTTATAACGCATAATTTATTTTAAGACCACACCTATATTACTAATACTCCTTTTTTTTTTTTTTTTTTCTTCTTCAAGTATATGTTATTATTAATTCTGCGCCTGGTGCATTCAATTGTCAAGCCTTACTGGCTTTTACGGATGCACCATTTTCCATTTATATTTTGAATGCTGTTATGTCAATTTTATATGTAATTTTGATATTGTTACATGTTATGAAATTCCATATTTTATCTTTGTATATATTGTTGTGATGATGGAAATAAATTTCAATTCAATTCAACTTCAACTTCAACTTCAACTACCCCCCCCCCACTGAGCGAATTTTTGGCCGGCGCGTTTTTCAAATTTTCGGGAGCAAAAAGAAAGAAAAAAAAAAATTGTGCTCTGTACCCCCCCCCCCCCCCCCCCCCCCCCCCCCCCCCCCCCCCCCCCCCCCCCACTGAGCGACTTTTCGGCCGGCGCGATTTTCAAATTTTCGGGAGCAAAAAAAAAGTTGGGCCCCCTCCCCTAAGAAATCCTGGATCCGCGCCTGGAGTTGCGTACGCTGAGCTGAGAGTACGCTGGCCTACGTTACTATACCCTGAGGGACGCAAAAAAAGTACGCAAGATGGACGCAAACAATTTAATATGTTTAACAAAATTCGCGTACTTTCGGCGTAGAAACTTGACGCAGAAAGTACGCCTTTTTTACGTAACACTACGCTACTAAGCAAAACAAACTGCATCTTTAAATGAATTAATGAAAAATTAGCCCAAGAAAAATGAGCCCCCGAAAGATAAAAAAAAGTAGCCCCCAAAATATATTCGAGTCCCCGAAAAAAAAATCTTTCACTGGATTCTACACTCACAGTCCCACACACAGTCGAGTCAATTTGTGCACAAACCGTCCGATTTTTCGCGTAAAATCTTTACTTTGAAAATAATTATACACATTTTGTGAACAATGCCAACATAATCATAATCCAAGCCTCTGCATATGTAGTCTTTTCATGAAACTACATTGAAATCACAACAATAATAATGCAAATAAATAGTAATTATCGAGATCCTATCTGACATAGTTTGTTTTACGATGCGCCATTCATGGTCAAACAGCATATATTATAAAAATTCTCTATATAAAGATAATCTAAAAAAAATTTGGATAGCACATAGGCCTCTATCTATCTATCTATTTGGCCCCCTCCCCTAGAATCCCGTGGATTTTCCACGGGTCCTGCTAGTTTAACTCATTGCCGACTGGAACCGGTTGGTTCCTGCTCTAAACCTATGGGAATATGACAATTCAGAAGTCAATGGGTTTGTTTTTAAAAATAAAACGGTTGATAGTTGGTCACCCTACCAACCACCACTGTACAGACAGTCAAATAAGCCTACCAAATTGGTTCACTGCTACTTTCATTACTCTAAAATATCTCTCTTTACCAACAACAACAAAACGAGAGATAAAGATTTAGCGGCCATCTGTCTACAAAGACCACATTTTATTGTTTCCCTTGAAAATGGTTTCTCATTGAAACATGTACTAAAGGAACCTGTCTACAAAGGCCACTGTTTGTGTTTCCCTTGGGTGGTCGCTATAGACAGTTTTGACTGTACTACTAGAACTTGAAGACATACCAGAAGAGGAACCAGCTCCTGCCGCAGGGTTAGGTCTTCTCTGGACTGGTCTAGCAGTGCCAGTGTCCTCATTGATCTGCTGCATGGCGTTGAAGTCGATGGTGTACGTCCGCCCCAGGGTGGAGAGGGTCACCTCGTCTTCTCCTGCTTGATGGGCAGCCTTAGATGATGGACGAGAAAAGAAGGAGGAATGGTGTAATTGGTAGGGTCATGAAACGATGATTAACCCTTTCGTTGCAATTTGCATTTAAACCCCAATTTCATCATGTTTTTTGTATGTTATACAAATAGATGAAAATTATGTGACCCAAACTTATTGTTTATTGGCCAATTTTTTATGTCTTTTGGTTATATTCTTAAAGGAGTGACACAGCAATTTTGTCTCATACTATCCATACATATATGTATCCTATACAAATTGTTTAATTTTATTTATATATTTATTGATTATCAAGATTTCTACATATAAAAATCAGTATAAAATTATATGTGGTAAAAATGTCCTAAAAATAATGTTTTCTCATAATTCTGACATATCCTATTCCTCTAAGCATTTTCACAGCAAATCTTCCCATACAAGAACATATAAACAGAGATCATTGCGTTTACCTCGACAATCCTGTTATCAATGCGAGTATACGGATGCCACATTCCCCTGTCGTCTCTCCACTGCCACAGGGCTGCTTCAGTGATCTGGTTAGGTACCTTCTTGAGGTAGGCATCGACGGAGAACAACCCATCACGGGGAAGCCTCGGCATCAACTCACTGGAATGAAAAACAAAAAATTATAATCATGGTACGATTCATCACCAAATATATTGTTAAGACCAAATATTTCAGGTGAGGGGGGGGGGGGTAATGTTATCCTTGCTTTATACCAACAGCTTTTACAAGCCTCATTTGATAAAAACATGGAGAGAGAAAGAAGGGGGGAAAAGAGAGAGAGAGAACTGCAAATAAAAGATCTTTCCTAATGACATACGCGCAAGACAAAGATCAAACTCTCTTTGGTCATACTTTTTGTAAATTTTGTACTGTCAGGTAACAATGGATTAGAGTTTGTATAAGCAATTTCTGTCGGTAAGATAATTTCACAACAGGAATCAAAGCTATCTCTTTTTTCTGTTCTGTTGTCTGAATTCTGATCATAACACACTTCCACACACATACATGTAATTACTTTTAAAACCACCAGTGTGAAAGTTCGTATTTCTACCTCATCGACCTGATGTAGAAGTGTTGAGGTCTAGTGGATAAGTCACCAGACTGTAGATCACAAGGTACAGGGTTAAAATCCCAGCCCGACACTAACGTCATTTGGCAAGATGATAATCTACATTTGCCACTCTACACTCAGGTGTTAAATGGGTTCCCCGATAAGATGTGAAACTTGATGTATTTTGCACAGCATTGTGAGCTGGAAGAAACATTGTGTGCGGGCAAGCCTGAATACGATGAGCGGGGTAATAATATATCTGTAAAGCACTTAGGGACATCCTTGATGTATTTTGCACTATATCAAGTATATACGTGGTTTGTGAGGCGCAAAAGAGGTACATGTAGTAGAATTGACCAATTTGACTTACCCAATCAGTGAGGTGATTTCATACAGCTCCTGGGGACTCCTTGATACAAGCTGTCATGGAGAAGAAAAAAAATTACATGATGCATATCCATCACTACTGCTTACATGTATGTTAAGTTTTGATACTCATATTCAGTAGTAATTCAACATCGATTCCTACAATGATTGTGTCTACTTATAGATATGTAATGAATACGAAATGAATATTTCAATGTCCAATGAACACCTAATCTTTGTACTTTATAACATTTTAAATCATGAAGAAACCCAAGTCTGAAACAAATGAATATGTGCATGTTAAAGGCCCACATATAAATATTTTCTTGAGATTCCTTCATGTCAGACGGTTGTGACTGAACAGTACCTCTACACCGTCCTCTGCTAACATGTTTTCTGATTTTAAGAAGTCACAGCCAGAGCTGTCATTGATGAATCATTAGAAACTTAAATTTGAGTCAGCACTCTAGCTGGACTTTTAAGAGAGAGCTGCTTATACAGCACAAGAAACAAAGCAAAACTGCCACTCACAGAACAGATCATTTACAGGCCTGGGAAGTGTTTCACAAAGACTAAGATCGATTTTAAGTTGGACTTAACTATGGCAGGCCATTCATGCCGCTGTTTGCTCTCATCACTTACTGGCATTGGTCTCTCAAGGGGCATACAAATCACGGTCACAAATCTACAGAATTTACATTTTTTTTAAAATTCATTATTGAAGGAAAGATATTTTCTAAAGATCATAATTGAGAGAGCAATGGTGAGAGCTAAAAGTGGTATGAACGGCCTGGCATAGTTAAGTCCAACTTAAAGTTGATCTTTGTCTTTGTGAAATGCCCCCTGATCATTTAGCATGAAGATGAACTTACCTCGATATCTACATTGGCAGAGTCTGAAGCTCCGATCAGGAGGTAGCTGATAGTTTCTGCAATATCTGGAAGAAGAAAAAAAACAGCAAACATTATTTATATCATCGCGTTATTCAATATCAAAATCAAACAAAGGAACATAACATAACGATTATTATTGTTGTATTTTATTTGTATCCTCGAATGTATATATTGTCTATGTTGCTTGTATATGTACATGTAAGTCACTCGCCAGTGGAGGACAAATTTCTGTATTTTTTAAATCAGACAATAAATTATTTTTAAATCTTGAATCTTGAAATAATTATATGCGCATTTCAGAAAAAGTCACGCCCGGTCATGCAATGATTAATCACATGTACGGCAACAACAGCAAGTATGTACTATGACATTCAATTAAACATCTACATGTTCGAGCATATACATCTAACTATTCATCCATTTATCATACAAGTTGTATCTGACCCTGTTAATCAATTCAAAAATAAATCCCATCTTACTTTGTTTAAGCAGCTGCACAGCGAGGCTGGGGCAGTTTGCACACATGAGTGATAGCATACGAATCACCATGATGAACGTCCCGGTACTGATGATAGGGGGTGTCACTACCAGCTGAAATAAAAAGAAACAGATTAAGTACATTGTTAACATCAATAATCACTGATCATTTGAGAGAGTGAGTTGTAAACAAAAAGTTAAAGATGACCCATTCCCTGTATATAGCATGTCATTATCAAACATCTGTAGTTTTAAAGGGATCGTTTAACAATGTTAAATCTGAGATGCATGGCCCTACGTGTTATCAGTGTCTGTGATATGGTGTAATATTGAAGCCCTAAAAAAATTGTGCTTCAAAATGATCAAGAAGTGCCTCAAAAAAGTAAAAATCTTTGAGTGACCAGTTTTACCATACTCGTTTTCCCCAATAGACTGTAGTGTTATGAAAACCGTCAGGCGACCGTTTTTCAAAATTTGTAATTCCAATCATAAATATCTTGATAATCAGACAGACGATTGGCTTGTAAAAGTCATGGGGTTCCTGACTGACCTAAAGATTTATAATTATCATTGCATCATGAGCTAAATCCAGAATTTTGTTTCAGAATCTGAGACAAAGTTACCGGATCCCTTTAAGAATGTAAATGTAAATGTAAATATGTTGATGTATATGGAATAAATAAACATCAGATCAAATCAAAAGTATGGGAGTTTAAATTTCAAAGCAGATAAATCATTTTCTAGGTTAGTAACCATTGCCTGTTTTTAAAGAGTAAAGTAATGCCTGGTTACAACAAAATATAGAGCAATATTTGTTACATTGTTAAGAAAGTCGAGGTAAAATATCTGAAGTCATTTCGAATTACATAGAGCAGTTATATCATAATGTGATATAAACTGCAGAAGGAACGGACTAGTACCACTACCACTACTATACTACTTCTACTACCACCACCACCACTACCACTACCACTACTACTATTACTTCTACTACTTCTACTATTATTATCATTATCATCATCATTAGTATTATGATTATCATAATAATATAGATCAGACAGTTTCAACATACCAGTTGTTGTAGGTTGGTGAGAAGACCATGTTCAGCTATAAGCAATAGAAGCTTTTCATCATTCTGGTAGTTATCCACAAGACGGGCGAAACACAGGCAACAGCTCTCTACAGACTTCTTATCCTGCACAGCGAGAGAGAGAGAGAGAGAGAGAGAGAGAAAGAGAGAGAGAGGAAGAGAGAGAGGAAGAGAGAGGAAGAGAGAGAGAAAGAGTGTTCATGAGTAGGTAAAACATGTCCTTGTGGTACGGTCAAACGGGTCTTAGTGGCCACCTCTGTATAAAGGCCACCTGTCTGTAGTGGTCAGCTATATTCAAGTGTGTGTTGTGGTTATTTTACCTAACTGCTAAGAAAGCATAAATGCTTGTAAGTAAGCAACCAGACTGCTGACGGCTTTAGGTCCTCTCCAAGGGACCTGGCAATGAGGATTAATACCTTACCAAAGGGCACTAGCGCATCGCCTTGGTTTCGAACCCGGGTCACTGGAGACCACTGCTCTACCGACTGAGCTATCGCGCCTCCTCATATTGCCTTCCTCTATGAGGAAACATGATGAAGAACCTCTCTGGAAGGGTCACCTGTCTACAGTGGCCACTTCCTGTGTTTCCCTTGGGTAGCCTTAATAGACAGGTTTGACTGTATCTTGAATACAATATATCAACAATAGTTGTCTTCTCTCCAACTTGATATTCTTGAAAGAAATAGTTTGAAAATAAAGGCAACACATACCATAAAGGAGTTTCTACTGCAAATTTTCAAAAATTCTCCTTCAATTTTGCCGCGACTGATTTCATTTCAATAAATCATTTTAAAGGCCGTCATTACTACTGGGCCAGAAGAGATTAGACCACACAGCGAGGTCACTGACAGGTGGCTATCTCATTAACTCAGCTCTTAACTAACATAAGAAAAAGAGGATCATGGGGGACCCACAGGCACCGATGGGGGAAGTTTTCTATATAGAGGGAGCAAGTAGCTACAAGTAGGACAGTGGGGCTTTAAATACATTAAAAATTTATTATTCATATTTTGGAATCATTCTGAATTGTTATTTGCCATACCTGGTGTTGAAGTCTTCCAGTGAGCAATGGTAACGAGTTGGCGACCAAATTAAATTCATCCGGTCCCATGCTTTGGCAACAGTTAGCTGCAACAGCCAAGGCATTTCGCTGGGCAGTTATTGAGAAGAACTCGATGTAGAGAAGGCATGCAGAGAGACCACCCTACAAGAAGCAGCAAAAAAGAAGTGATAAGTTGGATTTTTCAAGATAACATTGAAGAAATTGGTGATTAACAAATGATGATAATGTAATATCAAAGTTGAGTTTAAAATGTTTATTAGGACAATGAGTGCAACCTAAATGAATCAACTAAAAAATAGAACTTTTGAGGGCTTATTTTTCTTTGCCATCCAATTTTGGGTAACGGGTATCTAATTTTTTTACCTGAACACCAGGCTCTAGGGCTCGTACTTGGTATTATCTTGCAATCACAGCATGTAACATGCTGGTAAAAACATTATCATTGTCCCATGTCTACAATATTGTTTCAAAATGCAACAGGGTTTCTTTTTACTTTCCTTTTTTCATACAACATTGACACTTTTTGAAATGATCATTCATGAGTAAACCTAAGAAGTATGGCAATGTAAACAACCTAACCTCAAGGACATGATATCCCCATAAAGAGAAGACTACTGAAAATAGTGTGTAGAAGGGGACTTTCCCATTACTGTTTATTTTTCTATGAATAAGTGTAGTGTTTCTTACTGCCTGAAGTATGGCTTTGCTGTGTCTTCGAGACAGCATCTCCAGAGCTGTTAGAGATTGCTCGGCGACGTCCATGCACTGGATCACTTGGAGCTAGAATGAGGGAAGAAACATGGTAAAAATTCAGGGTTGGTTGGTAAATACTGGGGCGGGAAATACAGGGTGATGAAGCCAAGCAAATTTTGACCCACGAAAGGAAATACCAGGAAGTACTGGAAAGTACTCCACAAACAATACTTTTAACAACGGAAAACTGTTGATCCAAGATTGTCCTTGTGTGTAATCTCTCTTTCTCTCTCTCTCTCTCTCTCTCTCTCTCTCTCTTTCATCTCCTCTCTTTGTTTCTTCTACCACCACTCTCTGTTTTCTTCTATGTTCTTATTTCATTTTGATTCAAATTTGTCTAATCTTTTGTAACTAATTTTTCTTCTTTTATTTGTAATTCAAAGTTCAAACTTTACAGGAAATATAATATGAATATATAAGTAAGAATGTTACCTTCTCTAGGAATACCGGTATTGCATCCATGACAACAGACGATGACCTCGGTAGAGCTTCCATCATGTAGGTCAATGCGCGGCAGGCATGGTTCATCTAGGGGTCAAAGGTAAGAATAAGAAATAATGTTTACAGCAACGTATTACAAACCAAGGCTCTCTAACTGACCATTACATGAAAAATACATGTAGCTATTTAGCAAATAGACATCCTGATATACAAATCAATAACTATTGTAATATAAAGTATCAGTCTTGTTCTGTATGCATATTTAGCAAGATCAGATAATCTGTTTAGATTAAACATAACACAAAAATGTGCAAGCATGTATCATAACGACCCAAAATAGTTGATTTGATAAGCTCCTGAGCTAGCTCAACAGTGCTACTTTACAGACACACAATAAAGAACTGTTCAAAAGCTCCTGAATAAAAGTGCATCTTCAAACACTCTAGGAACATCCCTAAAACATTTACTTACATGTTCGTCTCTTCAAGATATAATTTTGTTAGGGATGCCAACTTGAATTCATTTAATTTGCCTAAGATAGATCCTGATATGTAAGGGCACATTATGTTATGTCCATTGTAAAGTTTCAGAGATGGAAGGCCCTGAAATCTAACATGAGACTGGAAATTGGCCTCCCTGTGTTTCTGTCTTACATTTGATTAAATTATTATTATTCCATTTCATTTCTTTTTTTTTCTTTTTTGTATTCATCTATCTATCTATCTATTTATTTATATATTCCTTTTTCCATTGATCCATATATTCATTCATTTATTCATTTTAATTATTTTAATTTGTATTATTATTTTTTTTTTTTTTTTTTTTTGGGGGGGGGGGGGGGGGGAGGGGATGGTCTCTGAATTGTTTAGGGTTGCTGGTCCTTGGAGGCTTGGGGTGTACTCACGATGTCAAAGTTATGTTCCATGGAGAGTAGGCTGATGAGGGCGGGGACCACCTGCTTGACGGGGAATCCCCCAGCGTGTCCTCGTTGCCCATCACCAGGAGCTGGCACATCTCGATCACAGCCTGAAGCTGCTGGCTCTCGTCTCCGCTGGCCTGCAGGCCTGATAATAGCTGGTGAGCTTTGCTGCCTGGTAGGGCGAGAGGAAGATTGAAAAGACAGAATGAGCTAGGGTAATAATTTCCAAAGCTCTTTGGAAGCGCATAGAGATGTTATTTCATAACATATTGTGTGCTATACAAGAACTGAACTATAATTATTATTATTATTATTATGGTGTGTGTGTTTGTGTGTAATGGGTTTTTTACAGACGTGTATCAATCAGATTGGAATATTTACGTCTACGGACCGACCTTTAACGTCACCACCCGAAAAACGTGACTCAGCTTCGAACTGGGGTCACCTGAGCCAGTTTATAGGCATAGACGGAGAGCTGACCAAATGAACCCACTCATATTTCCCTGAGTATGGGCTAAAACTAACCTCTTTTACAGATGAGGAAAAGTATTTCTTTGATTTGAAAATTGTTAAGTTATGAATAAATATTTGGCCTTTAAACGATGTTTGAATGTATGTGGTCTTTATAGACAGGTTTGACTGTATGTGGTCTTCATAGATGGGTGGTCTTTCTATGCAGGTGGGTCTTTAAAGAGTTCTGAATATACTTACTAGCTCCAGACCCCATGCTGCGTTGTAGAAGCTGGTGCATGCGCGGTCCAAGAGCGTTGAACAGATGTGGAGGTACCCCTCGGGACTCCAGAAGAGCTAGGAGGCAACAAAAACAAGACATCATCATCATCATTTATTAAAGGGATTGAGTAACTTTGTCTCAGATTCTGAAATAAAATTCTGGACATAGCTCATGCTACAATAATAATTATAGGTCAGTCAGGAACCCCATGACTTTTACAAGCCAATCGTCTGTCTGATTATCAAGGATCATAGGATTGGAAATCGAAGTTTAAAAATTTGTTTTCCTAGTAGTTTTTATAACGCTACAGTCTATTGGGGAAAATGAGTATTGTAAAATCATCTCTTAAAGATTTTTGCTTTTTTGAGGCACTTCATGATCATTTTGAAGCGCAATTTGTTTGTGCTTCAATATTACACCATATCACAGACACTGATAACATGTAGGGCCATGCATCTCAGATTTAACATTGTTAAACGATGCCTTTGAAGTCAGCATTATTCTCTCTTACAAGGGTAGACTGAATTTCACGCCATGATGTCTCGCCCTCCCTCTACTTCTTCTTGTCTCGCGTATCCTCCTCATTCAGACCAATGTTACTGCTTTCTTTATTCACCATATCTTTCCTTGAAATTTCAAGTCTTCATTTCCCTCTTATATGCATCCACTTCCAGATCCCACGCTAATTTTCAGAGATCCATCATATTCCCTTCTCGACACATGACCTATCCATCTCAACCCACTTCTCTTTACCACTTCCAACCAGTTTCTTCTTCTTCTCCTCCTCTTTCTTTCTTTTGGCAGTTTATAGCATAATTTATGACAAAGACTCAAGAGCATATCATTCAGAAATATTCATGGAGAATACAATCCTGTGATCGCCTAGCTTAGCAAGCAGCACAAGGAGGTTGGCACGATGCCAAGGGGAATAAATTACCTTGTAGTCTCGTAACTTCAGACTCGTCAGCGTCGCCTTTGCTGCCGGCTGCTAAGGCCGAGGCACCTGTGCTGGATCCTGCGGCTGAAAAAAAAACATTAAAAACATTTTTTTCTTAATATCTTTTTTTAAATTCGAGATTGATAATCATCTTAATTTAACCCTGAAGTATTTTCATCTTTTTAAATCACACCATAGCATAATTTTCCTCTCTCACTTGCTAAATTTACCCAGGCTACCAGAATTATGAGAATCAGAATGGTACAGCTATACAACAAGTAGTAACCTTTTCCCTAGTACAAACGTGATAACAATAATAATAATAATAATATTCCGCTTTTGATATAGCGCCCAATACATCAATACAACAATGTGTCTTTAAGCGCTTTACAGATATATTATAAGTGATATGAATAAATGCATAATGGCATTTTCTTCTATTATATCGGGGTCAATAAGAAAGTTAATCGCTTTGTATAATACTTTTAAAACCTATCCGCAGTGGATAACAAGGGACATCTGTTTGAAGTGAATACCATATTACTGTAATTCTAACAATGATTATACTTGGGTCTTGAACCCTGGACCTTGCAAATGACAATATGACACAGTGGCTTCCCTGTGCAGACCCTCGTTCAATGCAAAAGTAGCATTAGTTGGGTTAGCATATGTATTAACATACCCTATAATTCTCTATCCTATATTGGTATAAAACTACCAATGACTATACTTGGGTCTTGAACCCTGGACCTTGTGAATGACAGAGGACACTTACCAGTGGCTCCCTGTGCTGACTCATCAGATGCGGTAGGAGCATTAGTTGGGTTGGCTTATGTATTAACCTCCCCTATAACTCTCAACCCTATATTGATGTCAAACTACTAATGACTTTAGGTGAGTCTTGAACCCTAGACCTTGTAAATGACAGAGGACACTTACCAGTGGCTCCCTGTGCTGACTCGTCAGATGCGGTAGGAGCATTAGTTGGGTTGGCGTCAGTATTAGCATCCCTTCCTCCAGTTCTGCCCTCCTGTCGGCCAGAGCCCCCTGGCCCTCGCTTACTCATGCCCGAGCTGCGCCGGCTCCTATTGCAAAACATCACAGTCAATAAATTACATTTTGTTATTGCTACTTTAATACCCATCATCCTAACTGGTCATATTTATTAACATAGTTACAGACATTTTGTACATGTGTTTTTATATATTTACATGTTTGACCAATCTTATCCATTAATACAATTTACAGGGTTTTTTTTCCTTTGTCCAAGAGCTATTTTTGCATGGGGGGGGGGGGGGGGGGGGGGGACCATATGCAATTTTTTTTTTAGTCACTGATACACATATTCACAGCATATCTAATCCAATCGGAAGTTTAATTAAATTATGTTTTTTAATGTACATACATGCATGATACCAGTGATTCACATGTTGATGATCGTTTGTTACTTTATACCACATCACAACATCAAAAAGAAAAGCTTCTTGATATAAGTGTAGGCACCAATAACAGGACACATCCTGGTTCAAGTCACATGCACAGCATACAAACACACGTAGCATGAAATTTTGGTCATAACCATTCAGCTATTTCTTGTTATATTTAGAATACGATGGTATTCAAGGATAAATCCCCTTTCAGAATATTTATTTTTTCTACACTATCAAACTGAAATAAATAGAATGAGAAAGCCCACAAAATCATTCCTCAATCCTCATGATAACCACAACCCAACTATCTCTTCCATTTGAGGTATCTTTGAGGCAACCGATACCATGGAAACCATTGTCTCTCTCTCGTCTCTCTCTCTCTCCCTACGTACCTTGTGCTTGCACACGTTCCCGTGGTGGTTTCTGTTGACCTCTGACGGAGAGAATCGGAGCGAGCGGTCGATGACCGGCCCTTTCCCTTCCCTGCTTCAAGAGAAACACAAGAGATGCATCAGACAAATACGCAAGAGAAGGAAAGTTCACAAATTTCATGAGTAGTTCAGATTTGTTTAAGTCCTTGGCATGACATTGACAAAACACTGAATTTTACAATTCATGAAAGTTGAAACACAAGAGATACATAAGACATGTACGTGAGAGGGACACGTGTCTTCATAATGATCACAAACCTGCTGACAAAATTACACAACAAAAATGACGACCCTTTCATGGCAAAAGTATGAATATAGCAATTTATTTTGCATGCGTTTACACGGAAGCTTTCAGAAAAAGAGAAGAATTTAGGTTTTGTAGCATTGGTCTGAGTGCCGCAAGACCTGCTGACAAAATTAAACAACAAGTACATGTATGAATACAATGTATTTTGCATGCATTTTGACAGTTTTCAGAAAAAGAAAAGAATCTAGGCTTTGTAGCATTGGTCTGATTGCCGTAAGGTGGGAATCATTTCTTCTTAGTAGGAATGGTTGGTATCTATGGTAATGATATCTTGATAAAACATAATGGGGCGAAAGATGAAACCTCACCATATTTTGTTTTTTAATTTTTGCATTGCAGCCAAATAAGAATTGTATCCTTCTGATAAACTTATAACTTCAGAACATTGGGGACGGATTATTCTGAATCAGAATGATTTGAAAGAAGCATGGGGCTATTCTTTAAAGGCACACTGCACTACTTGTAGCTACTTGCACCCTCTATATAACAAACAATGCATAATCGGTGACCATTGGTCCCCCATGATCCTCTTTTTCTTATGTTAACTGAGAGCTGAGTTGATGAGATAAGCTTTAAAGCTTATCTGCCATAGTTTACAGGAGGGATTAGACCGCCCTGCAAGGTCACTGGACAGGTGGTTATCTCATCAACTCAGCTCTCAGTTAACATAAGAAAAAGAGGATCATGGGGACCAATGGTCACCGATTTGGCATTGTTTGTTATATAGAGGGCGCAAGTAGCTACAAGTAGTGCAGTGGGCCTTTAAAGCTTCTAAACGGAAAGGGTAGTCTTATCATCTTTTTCAATACAAAGCAGTTACATGTACATGTACTCTTACCTCACATAGGTGCTTCAACAAAAAGTGGATAGACATGAACAAACGTGCTTTACTTGTTAAAGGGATCGTTTAACAATGTTAAATCTGAGATTCACGGCCCTACGTGTTATCAGTGTCTGTGATACGGTGTAATATTGAAGCCCTAAAAAAATTGCACTTCAAAATGATCAAGAAGTGCCTCAAAAAAGTAAAAATCTTTGAGTGACCGGTTTTACCATACTCGTTTTCCCCAATAGACTGTAGTGTTATGAAAACCGTCAGGCGAACGGTTTTCAAAACTTGTAATTCCAATCATAAATATCTTGATAATCAGACAGGCGATCGGCTTGTAAAAGTCATGGGGTTCCTGACTGACCTAAAGGTTTATAATTCTCATTGCATCATGAGCTAAATCCAGAATTTTGTTTCAGAATCTGAGACAAAGTTACCGGATCCCTTTAATACACCAGTAATAAGTCAGCTCATCAAATTATCCATTCTTTTTTCCAGATGATTTCCTTCATTTTGTCTTCCCAAAGCCGCTAGCCAAACTCAATAATTGCTACTTGACATAACAAACCTCTTTATATAATTCTTTCCCTAAAAACATTATCTACTTTGTTTTTGCTTTTTCCTAAATTTGTGGGGTTTTTCCTTCCAGGCATCACTGTTATTTTCAAACAATCATGTTGTGTAAGAACACAATGTGTGGCAAAGGTAGATTAATGTCTTGCCAAAAGACATTAGTTTTGGGACTAATTAATTAATGTTATTCTTTTCCTTGTGAAAATTGAATTACTGGTTTACCCACCTTTGACAGTTGCTTTGTGGTTGCTACTCTGCTTTCTGGCTTTTGGCTGTGACGCAGAAGCCGATGAAGATTGCTTGGCGGTAGCGGGCTTGGCAAGTTTCTTATTGCTTTTCCTCTTGGCCTGTGCTGCTGCTTGCACAGGGGTTTTCTGTATTGCAGTTTTGGAGACCGTCCCTTTGGCCTTCTTAGAACCTGCTTGGTCGCTTGGCGTAAGGCTTTTGGCTTTGGTAGCACTTGCGGTCAGATCGTTTGCTTTGGTTTGAGGTTCACCAAAGGTAACACTGTTCAGTTTGGGTTCCTCCAACGACTTGGTGAAGGAGGTGGAAAGGGTGGTGGTAGTCCTGAGACCTAGGCGGCGCGGGGAGTAGTAGTCCAAGGCCTCAAATTGGTAGGGGTGATGTCGGGAGTATGAGCGTAGGGAGCGGGATGTAATGTTTATATTCACCCGGCCACTTTTCGAATCACTCGACACACTAGGTTCGGAGCCCTCTAGTTCCCCCGTAGGAAGGGCTGCACTTGTGAAAGAACTCCCGGCGAAACAGACGCTGCCTGTGGAGTCCGATAAGCTAAAACGACTTGATCCTCCAGAGAGGGAAGACCACGCTGATGAAGCGGAAGACGTGCTCCCGCGCCTGCGCTGCTTAGAGTCCCGCGAGTGCGCGCTCTCGTTGCCGCTGACGTTGTTCTGGACAGAGTCCTCGCTCTGCAGGAGGTTGTGCTTGGAAAGCTCGACAGTCTTTTTGGATTTCTTTGGGAGGTTGTGACGCTTGCTCTTGAGAGTGGTCACTGGAATGCACACTTCGTGTTTGTGTCTATTGTTTTTGATTAGCTGAGCACCGCTGCTGCTGTCAGCGTTGGAGGCATCCAAGAGAGTACTTGATGATACCTTGGAAGGTGGAGCTCCGTGGCTCTCGGTTGAAGCCTTCCTCTTGCTTGCACTGGTGAGAGTTTGCTTCTTGCTGCAATACCAAAAACACACAAATAGGTGGATATGTAAATGAAAAAAACCAACATTTGAACAGCTTGTGAGGAATCTGCGTACACAAACCCTCCATTTACATGTACCTATGATCTTTTGTAAAATGTCATTTTCTATTTTTTTAAACATTCAATTAAAACAACTTTACTCGCATTGTTCGACAGTGGAACGCTCTCCCTTTTGAGGTTGTCCTGGCTCCATCAGTGGAAGCCTTCCAGCGACAACTAAAGACAGGGGGGAAGTAAATTCCGGCAAATTTTGTACTGGCACTATGTATATATACACCTTTCACCTGCACACCTGGGCATCCCTATGTCGCCACACACACATGCACTCACACACATCTGCAAGAATCTTCAGCAGTGAAGGAGGCAGATTATTCTGAAGAAGAAGAAGAAGAAGAAAAAAAAAAAGAGATGAGAGGGACATGGTTACATCTTTCAACCTACCTTGACTTGATGCAAGTCTCCTGTCTAGAGGACACTTGATGCTTCTGGTGATTTGATAGGTCTTGTACAAGACTGGCTACCGAAGATCCAGCAGTTGAGGAGGCCACGGCGTTGCTAGTGGTGGTAGACGTGGTAGCAGTGGCACCTCGCTTTGATCGTCGGTGTTTGGACCCCCCTAATTGGTGGCAGCTAGGGCTCTGGTCGGCCATAATAGGCACCGGTCCTGGGACGAGACATTCCCAAAGGTTCCTCAGGTCAGGCGAATGATATCTGCTCTCTGCAAGAAACAACAAGCAAACATTTAATCAATTTCCTTCAATTTGTATTTCACTAGCACTATGTGACCTGGGTGGTGCATGTATAACACCTAGGAGAATTTAATAGTCAACAGATGAAGAAAAAAAATATTACCTCTATATCAATCTGAGATATTCCCATAAGGTTTCTCATTCAGGCAGAGGATATATGCTCTCTGAAAGATGCAAGCCGCAGTAATTTTCTGTTGTTGTTTTTTTCACATGTGACTGAATTTCAAGTAGGAAGAGGAGAAAATTGCATCTAAAAAAAAAAGGTCCAACATATTATACTCACTGTATATACATGTACGTAGCATGCCCTATTTATCTTGCTCCCTTTTTCCATTAACACTAATACAATATATGAATTTTGTATGACTAATCATTTCTACACATCAAACATTTATGGGTTAGTTCTCAATTATTTTCACCACACTACAGGTATCATCATGCATCTGGATGAAGGGCATGAACACAGTATTTTGTGCATTTCTTTCATTATTTTTGTTTTTGTTTTATTTGTTTGTTTGTATGTTTGTTTTGGAAACAAAGTCGATGCACTAGTGCCCTTTGGTAAGGCATTAATCTTTATTACTAGGTCCCTCAGAGAGGACCTTAAGCCATCGGCCGTCTGGTTGCTTACTTACAAGCATTTATGCTTTCTTAGCAGTCAGGTAAAAAAAAAATAACCACTAACCATCTCCAATTTAGTTTTAGTTATGAAAGGTTAATACAGGAACTACCTGTAAATGTATAGCCAATTACTGTGAACAAATTGTAGACATTTTGTAATGACTTTCATTTTCATTTTTGACTTCCATTTATATGCTGTCAAACTATTTTTTTACAACTACAAGTACATGTACATGCTTTAATATAACTTAATATTCTATTGCCATTTATCGCAGGGATGTAGCCATTGGTTGAGTTTTTAACTTTTCCTGTATCCCAAGGCATGTTTGGTTTTCAACTATCTAAATACATAAATTATATCAAAGAAGTTCATATAAAATATTGAATTTCAAGAAATAAACCAACTGTCGCATTCAGTAAATGTTTCTTGCTATGAAAATGGCAGCCCTTAACATTTTTTTAAAATTCCATGCCGCAAAAATTTCTGGTTTTATAGTATTTTTTTCTATGAAAGTATGTAAGTCGTACTTTAAAACAATAAAATCAAGAATAATCATTTAAAAAAGATGAAATGCCTCCCAAATGGACACAAAGGAGAGCCTCTCTCGAGTGCCTTACTGCCTCGAGCCTCATCTTATGATACACATGTATTGATTTTTCCTGCCAGACAATCTCATAAACCCATAAGAGTAAAGTATGCCCATGTTAAGCCCTTTATATTGACAATTCCCTGTCCTTCCTTGCAGTAGAAGAAGATTACAGTGTCATAAAATTGGTCTTTTGTGTCATCATTCCACAAGTTCACACTCAAGTCCACAAGCAAGACACAACAATGGTCCAATCACTTCCACACATGAAAGGCTATGTATGAACGTGTACATGTACATTACGTGTACATTACATACACAAACAGGTATAATAAGTTACATCTGCAGTACTGTGTATGTAATGTACATGTACATGTACCTGTCAACCTTTCACAGCAAAAATTAGGAATCTCTCAAGACAAAATTAGGAATACAGTCTATTTTGTATACTTTTCACGAAGATTATTTTAGAAAAAGAGAGGAATCTAGGGATCAAAACAATAGCTTGAAGGCCAAAAATAAAAGGAATTATTCCACCAAAATAGGATTGATTGGAAACCATGTACAATAGCTCACTTAAAGTATTGCTTGATATAAAGTAGACACATTATCACCAAGTCACACCAAAGTCTATGGAATAATACATGCAGTCACACGTGACACAGTGTAGTGTCTACTTTATTCCAAGCAATACAGTACCAAATGTTTTACATGTGTACTGCATCTAGTGTCCAATAAACCATGTAATTATGAAAATATTTGATGTATGTATCCCCAACCCTCGGAAATTGTCATTAATCACTTCTGTGCCGCCAGACTTTGTTATAATGATCATTAATTTGATGGCAAGTAACTCATTAAGGATTTTAAAGCTACTGTTATGTTTCACTGTTAAATTAGCATTAAATAGTCTCTATGATATTACACTATGAATTGTCTCATGAAAACGTAAACATGAATACATTACTTCTGTGTTGTATGATTTACATGTTCCATAGTACCAGAACTATGGAACAATCTCCCAGAGTCGCTAAAATGTTGTCCTTCACTACATCAGTTTAAATCCGAAATGAAAACATATCTGCTTCGATCATGCCAGTCTTAAATCATAAAGTAAATATGTGATTGTAATGGATTTGATAATTGTAAGTGATAAGCGGTGAAACCTCAATATTTGTCATGGCTTCCCTTTTCTCTCTCTCTCTCTCTCTCTCATATCTAAGCGCATACCGTAGAGACAATTATGTAATATGCGCGCTATATATTCGGGGCAGCACCAGGAGCGTCACAACGTGACGGACATGTGCGCTAGAGGCCACCATTATTATTATTATTATTATAAGAATCAAACATTATTATTATTATTAAATTGTATGCATGATACCTGTTTCTGTACAAAGAAATAAAACTAGAGCCATACATGCAGCACTTCATGTATACATGTATTGTACACCAATTAATTCCATTCATTAATCACAGACAGCAGTATCAACATGTACTTGAGTACATGAAATGTATGTATCACCTACATGTACATGTATGTTGAAGTTGAGCTATTTTTAACTCTCTCATATATGGTTACCGGTACATAGACTGATAAATCATTGACCACATCCAAATTTTGGGGCGATTTTCATCTTATCTGAGCTCATGCGACCCTCCACAGGGGGACCACAAACTTGGCAAATCAAAGATCTACCTCTTTTCTATGAATAGGCCTGTCCTTATCAGCTGGAGTTTACAAAATAACCCGCTATTTTAACTATCACGATCGCAAAATAACCAGTTAATTTGCGTCATCATCAGCCCCCAGTTGCAGTTAGCGGGATATTTGGTCGAGAAAATATCCAGAGAAATCTTGGTCTTGTTTCCAAAATATCCCACTATGTGGGAAATAGCGGGCTAATTTGCACCCGTCCGAGCTAGTTTGTGATGAGCGTATCAATCTGGTGAAGACGCAATTTCGAGGTTCGTGATAATATCCCGAGTCTGAAAATAGTGGGTTATTTGGCAAACTCAAGCTGATGAAGGCAGGCAGGCATATCCCTATCCCTATCCCTATCTTTATGATTCAAGTTGACCAGCCGATATACATGTAAGAACTACTACTTTATGGAGTTACTAATGCATACCAAACTGTGTTCTGATTCGGAATATTCATAATGAAGTATCTTATTCAGAATACGGAAATCTAAACATGTATCTACAATATAAACAAAGTTCCCCATGGCCATGTGCAGTGTAAAGTCAAGGGAACAGAAGGTCCAAATGCCTGAACATTTAATTTTAGTATGCATATGTTTCAGAATAACTTAATCAAAACTAATGTATATTTAAATTGTCATATTCAATGACAATGAAATCTGCAAAAATTACTCAATTTGATATTGCAACATATCCCTTTGGGAATCACCTATACACAGTTACTATGCAGTGAGTTATTGGCAATAAATAGCAATATATCTTGAATTTATTATAGAAACGTGTGTCACTCTGTGAATTATGCCAAGTTGGTCAAAAGCAAAATGGCCACTCCTAAAAGAATCTGGCAACTTTGTGCACTCTCTGATGACTGCAATACAGTGCCATAAACTTGTACGCTAGTCCCACATGTACATATTTATGTCTGTAGCAATAAAAATACATGTACATTTACGTGTACATACATAATGTACCGTAGTTATTTTGTAAATGGCTGAGTTTATATACATTGTAGCTCATGGCAACAACGACGAATGGCAACAACAACAAAAGTCAACAGTCTTTGTCAAAATCATTTCAAGGATTGTTATTCAATGCAAATTTTTCTGCTCAAATGAACATATTTTTTCTACTTTATTTTGGCATGGTCTATTTTGTCATTGAGTCATGCTGTACCTTAGTTTAAAGATGAAGTTGAGTTTTGGTCATGCGATTGCATTGTGAAAGAAACGGTGTGGAATCGATCTGAAGAGGTTGATCATCTAGCATATAAGAATGTGTGTGTATTGCAAGGTTCTGGAATAATCAAAATGATAAGAAATTTGGCCAAGTCTTGGTAAAGTTACAAACACTGTACACAGAAAGATGTATATGGGACTACACGAACACATGGCGTAAAGGATTTTTACAATGTTACACGACATATTTAGAATATGAAGGCATTTGAAGAGCCATGCTTTTCAGGGAACATGTCATATCTGATGTTCTTCCACACTTGCATAATAAGAATGATAACGTTCACAAATTATTTTTCACCTCTTCCCAGAACTCAACCTTCTCCTTAATTTGGTGCAGTGAGTTGACTCAGGAACTTGTATGGTTTGCACTGCCTGAACATATGTGTCACATGTTCAGCAGTGAAGTGCATAGTCCATTTCTGGCTCCATCACTACTACACATGTTTCCTGAATACAATGAACTTTCAAAGATCAATACCTACATGTATGTATGTAGGTCCAAGTGCAATGTTTTTCCTCTTTTCTTTTTCCATTTTTTGTCCTTGTTTTATGAATTCTCTCTTTAATATACATGTAGTACTCGTTGCATTTCTATCTTGTGTTATGTTTAAAGTGATACAGTAACATTGCCTCAGATTCTGAAACAAAATCCTGGATTCAGCTCATGCTGCAATCATAATTAGAAACCTTTGGGTCAGTCAAAAATTCCATGACTTTTACAAGCTGATCGCCTGTCTGATTATCAAGATATTTATGATTGGAGATCATAATTTCATTTTTTCGTTTTTTATAACACTACAGTCTATTGGGGAAAATGAGTAT